CTTGTAATTCATGTGCATTTCGTAATGCTAAATGTTTTAAATGTGGTAAGATAGGACACATTCAGTCAGTATGCAAAGCTACTGTCCATTTTGCTTCAAGTAGTACTAAATCTTGTCATTTAAATCTCAATAATTCGGATGTTTCTAGCGATCATTTATCTTTGTCTACTATTTCGAAAGGTAATGCTCATATTCAAAAGCGACTATATACATCGCTTGGTTCATTTCATGACTTTATTGTGGACACAGGCAGTATAGAGTCCATTATTTCATTCAAGAAAATGAAATCCTTAGATCCTAATGTTGTAGTACGACCCACTGAAGTATCAATATTGGGGATTACTGGACACAGACTGCCCATACGAGGATGCTGTGAATTGCTAATAAGAGATGATAATTCTTCATACATACCTTGTGAATTTTTAGTTAGCGAAACAGGACTGTCAATATTAGGTTTAAAGAATTTGAAAAGGCTTAAAGTGGAGTTGTCCTTCTTAGTTTCTAAGGAGAATTGTGATACTTTACTTAAAGATTTGATAGCTAGGTGTGCTAAGTGCAATGGAGGTATGAAAATTCAGCCTATAAAACTTCAAGTACAGGGTGATCCAGTTTTTCTTAAAAGACGAATAATTCCTTATGGTCTTCGAGAAGCAGTACATAAGACATTAAACGATTTGTGTGCGAAAGGCATAATTGAACCAATTCAGTCTTCAGCATGGGGTACTCCTATCGTTACGCCACTGAAGTCGGACGGCAAGACCCCTAGAATTTGTGGTGACTATAGATTAACTCTGAATTCCTGTTTGTTGAAGCAAACGTGCACGACGGTGGAGGCTGAAGATATTCTAAATAGACTTCATGGTTCTAAAGTGTTCTCGAAAGTTGACCTAAAAGATGCTTATCTTCAAATTCCTTTAGATCAATCTTCATCTATTTTGACGACAATTAACACTCCGTTTGGTCTGTTCAAATACAATTTTCTTCCATTTGGTCTAAGTTGTTCTCCAGCCATATTTCAGGAAGTTATGAATAAATTAGTTAGTGATCTTGAAGGTGTTGAAGTTTATCAAGATGATCTCATTGTTCATGGTTCTAATAAGGTAGTTCATGACCAGAGACTTATTGCTTTATTGCGTCGTTTAATTGAGAAGAATATTACAGTGAATCCAAATAAGTGTTCGTTTTGTGTATCTAGTTTTGAATGCCTTGGATACCTAGTTGATGGTAATGGTTTTAGACCAGATATGAAACGACTAGCTCCGCTGACAAATGCCCCGTCTCCAAAAAATCTTACGGAATTACGTTCACTAGTGGGTGCTTTTCAATACTATTCCCGTTTTATTCCTAATTTTTCTTGTCGTGCAAATTGTTTATTTAATATTTTGACATCCAATTCATTCAAATGGAGTGAGGAACAAGAGTCATGCTTACGTAATCTACTAAAGTTTCTTCAAAGTGATGCTGTTCTTCGAACGTACTTCCCTAGTGTACATTCTGTGCTTATTACTGATGCATCACCTGTGGGAATTGGTGCAGTTTTGGAACAGGAAGGTAGACCAGTTATTTGTGCTTCACGCAAACTCACTGTTACTGAACAAGGTTATTCACAGACTCAGCGAGAAGCGTTAGCTGTGTTAGGGCTGTTAAAAGACTTCATAAATATTTATTCGGAAAGAAGTTCACTATTGTTACTGATCATGAAGCTTTAAAGTTTATTTATCATCCTGAAAAATCTTTAGCACGTTCCTTAGCTGCTATGGTTCAACGATGGAGTATTGCTTTGAGTGCATATGACTATACGGTTCAGCACAGAAGTGCCAAACAAATTCAACATGTTGACTACATTTCTCGACAGTCATTACAAGATCGACCTATTAATACTTCGGACTGTTTGTTAGTGCAACCTTTACCAGTGAGACGTTCAGATCTCATTAGAGAAACTCGCAGATATTTTGGATGTATACTCAGTGCTATACGAAAAGGCTGGACTGCTAATTTGAAACGTAGATTTCCTATCTATTTTTCAAAGAAGGATGAACTATTTACTACTCCTGATGTTATTCTGTATTTAAATGATCGTGTTGTCATTCCTCCTTCATTGCGTAAATCTGTTCTTGAAGATCTTCATAGTGGTCATTTAGGTGTTGAGAAAATGAAGTCCTTGGCAAGGCTCACATGTTGGTGGCCAGAGATAAATGCAGATATATGTCGTACAGCAAACAATTGTGAGAAGTGTCATCAGTTGAAAGGTCATCCTTCGAAGTGGACGCCATGGCCAGTATCGTCTGAGGCCTGGCAGAGAATTCATGCTGACTATTGTGGTCCGTTTCTTGGTAAATACTATGCACTAGTAGTTATTGATTCTTTTTCAAAATGGCCTGAAGTTTTTTTTACAACTTCACCTAATTCTGACTTTACAATCCAAGCATTAAGAAAGGCGTTTAGTCGAGAAGGCGTTCCTATGGTGTTAGTGACTGACAATGGTTCTCACTTTGCTGCAGATGCGGTCACTAACTGGTTGAACGGTATAGGGTGCAAACATCTGTTTACTGCTCCCAGACATCCGTGTTCTAATGGTCGGGCAGAGAATTTTGTCAGGACATTAAAGACTGCTATTGATTCTATAGCCACCTCAACATTTAATGAGCTGGAGAGGGGAGTAAATACCTTTCTATTGCAATATAGAAATGCCAGACATTCGGTGACGAAGGAGACTCCAGCGAAGCTATTGAAAGGAAGAATTCTTCGGTCGAATATGAGATGTTTGGAGTCTGCAGAAGTTACATACTATCGGGGAAATGATATTCGACCATCTACGGGTATTGTTCTGAAGAATGTCGGAAAATCGATGGTGCGAATTCTAGACATCAGTCGACATGTTGATCAAATACAATTTCAGGAACCAGGTGAGTCTGTTCCAATTTCCGTTGTTAATTCTAATGCTAATGAGCAAATTCTAGATAATACAGAATCCTTTTCGAATATAATGGCAGACAGACCCAGGATGAATTTGAGAAGAAGACGTACGATTGATTACAAACACCTAGACTCCAATTTAAGCTGTGGCGGATGTGGTGTTTGAACGAACTAATGATACTATTGTACTGGTCGATTGTACGATTTCGAATTCCAAATACAGTACATTCGGTTGTGCCTGTGTCTTCTTAATTCAATTGCGTTATTTCTGGGACTCTTAGTTAGTGCTATAATTCCTATAAGTCGAAACATTATAATTCCGTAAGGATCGGTCATGCACAGACCGAATCACAACGTTACGGATCATTGTTAAACAATCAGTTGAGTGGAAATCATCATTATACATCAACATCTTTGACTATGAGGCGTTTGACAGTGTAGATAGAAGGACTTTATGGAAACTTATTTGACACTATGGTGTACCTGAGAAGATCGTCAACAAGTAATTTGTTCTGGGTTTGTAAACTCTTTTGAAGTGTCCTTTTAATTTCTCTGTTTTGGAAGGCAAGAAAAATGAGGGCATATCATGTGCAAAATTATCACTAAGCAATTTGAAATCTGTACTCAAGTCTCCTCTAGTTCTCTGACATGACAACAGGAATAGATTTAGCTTGTCCAGTCCAGCGTCATACGGGAGCTTCGCTATTCCGGGGATCAACTTAGTTGCTGTTCTCTGAAACTTTTCCAAAAGCTCAATGTCTTTTTTTAGGCAGGGGCTAGTTGCTTGCATGCAGTACTCAAGTTTACGACTCACGAACACTGTATACAAAATCAAAAACGTTTTAGCACCGACGTGACTAAAGGCCCTACGTATTGACCATAAAGTTCTAAAACCTTTGGCGGCCATTACACGGAAGTTTGCGGTAGTCTTTACGTCATGGATAACGATGACTCCTAAGTTATTGTGTCTGGATAATAGGTGGCTCAGTGTTATTCATCGTGTATGTATCTTTACCTTGATGACTGATATGCATCACAATACGCATGGAATTATTAATCGACAACTATCAGATTTGAGACCATTCAGATAATTTCTTCAGGTCATTTTGAAGTTCCAGGTTATCACCCTTACTTCGTATCGCTCTCCTTATCTTGACATCGTCAGCATATAGCAAGACCGATGATGATAGTACACTAGGAAGGTCAAGAATAATAACACTGGCCACAACACTGTACCCTGGGACACTCCAGCCAGAAAACTTCGGGTTCACCCGTACTCTTTGTCGGCACCGAACTAGGAAGTCTCTAACTTAATGAGACAGGAATAACCTTTTCTACAACCACGCAACATAGAATAATTTCAAGCATGGGAGTAACCTTGTTATTTTTAATACTAGAGTCGTAGAATAAAGGAGACTACTACAATATCCAACATGATACATCCTTTACAGGATTTTAAACTTGCTGTACTGACAGTAGAGATTAGATATATAGATAAATAGAGTGTGCAAAGTTCAATGAATAACACGACACCACCCATTAGGACATGAAAGCTTCACATTTGGATTGAAAGTAAACTAAGTTTTCCAAATCATTAAGATTAAACCATGTTCTGGGTATCAATGAAACATACCACTTTCGATTTTGTCTTGCAGATGCACCAAGTAGTAGTATTTTTCGACTGATTAAAATTTATTGCATGTTATCAAGATATATTACAGTACGAATAATCTACCTACTACTTTTAAATGTGGTTTAAAAGGTGATCTATAACAAATGGTATGAGCTAATTAACATCTTATCAGGGTTTAAGAACTAGCACTAATAATCTCCGAGGTCATAGCAAGAAGGTTCATAAACCATGATCTAATAAACTTAAAGTGGGGTCCCGTTTTTCTCATCGAGTAGTCAATGATTGGAACGTCTTACGCGAACAAGTGGTATCAGCCCCATCAGTGAATACTTTCAAGGATAAGCTAGACCTTCACTGGAAAGCAATGTGTCAGGAATAATACAGGTTCACCAACCTTATTACTGAAGACTGAAGACAGACTGTGTTTAGCCGCATCACACAACGACCTTCAGTAGCATTCATCCTAATAGTGGCATGTTTGATATTTGGCGATATTATTGGTGATATGTAGTTCTAATTTCACGAGAACTTAAGTTCACATTGGACCATGCCTACTACTCATAATAATCTTTTGAGGGTTACGAAAATGTTCATATAGAATCAATGGAGTGCGAATCTTCGAAGGTTGTCAGTCTTCAGGAAGCCTTAAGGACAAATCCTAGTACTTCAATTGAAAGTGAATCAACTTTAAACGATCAAACACAGTCTGTAAGTAAACATGAAGAACTAAAAGACAAGGGAAAAGATGTTGGTGGACAATCCGAATCAACAAAAGCTAGTCCAGGCTCATTCACTCCCAACTCCGGTATTATCTCATCACTCCAAACGTCATGTTCACCAACAAGCACTATACAAGGGCACTCATTTATAAGACGAACATTACACAAACCAGCATACTGTCACCATTGTGGCGAGGTTATATGGGGCCTTCTAGGTAGTGGTTTTCAATGTGAAAGTAAGTAACTTGGTCTATGAGATTAAGATACTGTACAAAATCAATGGACGTCCGGTGTTTTATTTTGTAGTAAGCTCTACTGTGACAAAAACTAATTAGGAAGTTAAGAGCCTAAAGCTTGATGCAACTAAAATGTGTTAACTGATTGTAATTGAGTAGATATATCCTTTTGGTTGATTGCATTAGGGATTCTTTCACTTATTTTACATATATGAAGGTTGTATGATTGTGAAGAGTATTTGTTAACAAACTGAATTGCTTTAAATTTTCTATCAAAACTGTAATTATTAAACATAATGTAAACGAAATACGTTTCATGCGTTAAAGATTTAAAACAATTATTTCGTCAATCAGCGTAGTGCTATTCTGCACAAATGTGCGTTAACCAAAGTCACCATAACGAATTGTCACGAAGCGATGAAATTTAAAAAAAACAGGTAGGAAGAGAGTTGAAATAATGTAGTAATACTGATGTGGAGAATGGCTAACCATTGAGAACATGGTTCTAAAAAGTGGAATGAGAAGCTATGAATGAAGAAATACTGGAAATTTTGATCTATAGGAAGATAAAGAGTATATGCATCTACTCCATTGTGACTGATTGTGAAGCATGTCACATAATGTCTCTAACCACTGATCACGGTTACTCAAGTCAGGTAGTATCCATCTATCAACATGACTCAGACCACCTGTCATTGACTCAATGTAGTCATGGTACATTTTATTTGGTCGACTTTTTTTCAAAGTTAACTGATAACATCATTTTCACGAACTAGGTTGAAAGTTTTTTTACAACGCAAAACAAACATGTTACTGCTTCATATAATGTGAGTCGTTTACTAAGTCAAGGAGTCCAAACATGTACTCCAAGATCTTCAGCCTTTATCGATCCTATACAGTGATGATTAGTGGCAACATGCTTTATTTATGTTTATAATTGTGTTAATACATGGGGGGGGAGGTAGACTAGATAGTGTTGCTCCTTACGCTTAAAGTTTGGACTTGCTAGGAATGAGCTGCTGTTTAAGCATAATTTCAGGAGACAGTCACTGTTGTCTGTTCGTTGGTCTGGGATATCAAAAGACTCATCCAGTTTTTCTAAATTTAACTTAGTCTAATGACGAGTGGTATATCCAACTTCCACGATTACCACATCTACATATTCGGATTACTGAAGGTGGTCAGAGACCTTGCTGTAAGACTAGTCTTTTATTCTATCCGGGTCACAGTCAGAGGAAGTATAGGCGGAAATTACAAAGAGACAATGGTGTGATTCCCTCTTTCTGAATTCTTACTATGACATGTGGACAGATGTCAAATAACTGATTGTTGATAGAAATTCTATCAAGGGGTGCCTGTTTTACTTTTAAACCTAGCGGTGTCCCTATAACCATAAGACCACTCTAAGTTTCTGTCAAATCTCCAGACTGACCAAGTAGGCTTAGGTTAATAATCATGTTGGGATTCTATATGCGCGTTTCGGAGACAATGCACATAAATGGCATGAGACTCTGATGATTTGTCTAGTAAGGGTTGCTACCTTACTTGACTTAAGGTTTAGAACATTAAAAGCTCAAGCATGTGATGTGAAGCACGATTTCAGAAAATTTGAGATTGTATTTTGTGAACTTAAATCATTAACACTGGATCAACTGGGGGGGGGAATCAGAGATATATTAAGGTTGATGATGGGAATAGAAGAAATATTAGTGAAGCAGGGTTTTGATTATGAATGAGGTGGTCTCGGATACTGTTTGAGATTTAAGAGGGAATTTCTATCACTTCTTGACGAATCTAAGACGGGGGTGGGCTGCATTAGTAGTGGCTAGAATAATGACCGCACCACCAAAGAGGTGACTTATTGCTGGAGGTTACACCATATCGTGAGTACTTTTTAGTGTGTTGGCTCAATACTTTAAACGCTTTACCAACGGCAACTCATGAAGTTACGTAGTGTTCTATTTTTAGGACCGATCTTTTCTAAACCCAATTTTTGTTGCGAGAAGATTGAATAGCTACAGAAAATGGTTGCCAGGGGAGATATTTTACTGCTGTTACACTCTAGTAGTCGTCAGTACGACTTCATCTTCGGATGTTAAGTTGATACTTTTGGTCTTACCACTCCAACTGACATGCTTAGCATGATACTACCTAATAAACAAGTGTTTTAGTTAATATGGTTTTCAAACCACTCCAAGTTTTCAATGGTTTCCAACTTTTATCGTTTTGTGATTTCAGTGAAGTTCAATAGTCTCCACAACCATCTACTGACATCATAGTTCTATTGAACCATCACGATATTCAAAATCTACCACCATATCAAGGCAACAGCAGCCGTTGGTCACATGAAATGAAGTAGTTCCAAATAATCTCACAATGTTTATTATTATTATTCAATAGCAAGGAAAAAACATTTCAATTTCATAGACGTAGTTTGTGCCTCATTAGCTGCGTAGAACTGACGTCTTATACTTTCTGTTTATTGGTATCAATAATCTCTTTAGTTATAATACGTTCATATTAGCGTTAAAGTTTTGGGACACTGTCACCACGGATCGTGTTTAACGGGCGGCTATTCGATATGACCAGTCATGACCTAAAAAAGTTTTAAATTCACTCCATTAAAATGTGTATTATTTAGTAATGGTATTTTTTATTCATATAAACATATCTATTTATTTATACATTGGGTTTTAGTTTGCAACTTACTTGCACATGAACGTTGTCAAACCGTCGTGAGTTCTCCATGTACATCTGTTGCACCTCTTCATATAAAGGTATGGTCATTTTAATTAGTTTCATGGAAATTATAATGTAATTTCATGTTATATATATATATATAATTTGGGGCTTTGGGTAATCTATGTTTGTAAAATTGTTTTTATCATGTAGATTCACAAGCCTGTTTTTGTATTTCTAGTCATATTTTGTCAATGTATCCATGGAGCAATACAATAAGGTGAATTGATTTCCGTGTGTAGTGCGATTCTAGGTGTCCAAAATCTAGAATAATCTATATGGTTTATAGTCCTGTTATTGTAGTATGTTTTGTTTTTTAGATTGTTTAGTCTAATGATGCGATTTTCTAAGATAGAAAACATGTATCATATTTTTAAAATATCTCTACTTTCAATTTTTGCTGAATTTACAGTCTCCAGTATCTCATTGTTGGTCTGATGTGGGTCATTTCAAACGGAAATTTTGCAATGTTTGTCGAAAGCGCTTGGAGGATAGTCTTTCTGTAAGATGTGAAGGTAAGATATTGTGTATTTTTTAGGACTTAATGGCAAAATTGCGTTTTTGTGTACTATACGTTTAACAATCTGCAGATAGCGTATTTACCTACAAGCATTAGTAATTAGTCATGGTGTGTATATGATTTTTACAACACTGTGAGCACCTGGTTTTTAACGTATATAAAAATTATACGAAATGGTATAGAGTTTCAATAAGCACATAACTTTGACATTTTAAATACATCAATCAACCTGATATACCGTTAAATGAGTGTTATTTATTTAAACACATAGACGTTAGTACAAAAAGGTACCAAATATATATGTACCACACTTCGTCATTCGATTTGTGTAAGGACCGGGATACTTTCCGGGCGCCCGAACCGATGCAGGTAGTCTTCTTAGGAGGCCGCACCCCGAGCCTTTGACCTAAAGGTCTAATCCACAAGACAGTGGAGCAACGTTGGGAGATGCAGTTCCATAGTAGCCGGTGTCCAACAATAGGTTCATACTCCATTTTTTCCCTCAGGATCCTGGATCCCATGTGTACTATTGGTCCGGGATCAAAGTTTTCCGACCCACCAACCCGGTTAAAGCGCTGGACGTTCGCTTTTCTTCCTCTCAATTCCGCAAACAACACCCCCGCAATGAGAAGGCAACGAGTAGGAATTCATTGGGAGTAGCTGTATACGCGTGGCCATGTGAGAGCATTTCTAGAGGAAGAGCGAACTTTTATCACCCTCGGCCGTACCAGAGGACTTGGCTTGAATAGGATAGTTTACCACTTACAACACTGAAAGTTATAAATTACTAGATTGGGTGAATTGATGTTTTTTATGTCTATCTTCCTATCTGGTTAATTTGATCATATAACTTGAGGACAGTTTCTATGACTGCCTGACTTTATATACATGCATACATACATACATATATGTTTTTGCTCGTTTTCTCAACCTTTGAAGTCCTTAATTTGATCCCACATGCAGTCGCATTTGTGAACTACTTAAAAGTCCGTTATCAATTCGGAAAAACGGTCAAATGCCCTCCATTTTCAATGGTTCCCTAGTCGTTATCAATCCATGACGAAGTTCCATCTCACAGCTAAAGTAATTTCCACAATTCATTTAACCAAATAGTTTATATTCTATCAAAATAGAATATTTTAGGAGACAATTAGATGTGTTTCCGTTAATATTAAGTTCGTTTTCTAATTATCTCTAATTTATAAATTGTCGTGAAGCGGCTAGTTATATTTTGCAAAAAAAGATTGTTTTATTCTAAATGGTTTGTAAAACGATAGATATAGTTAGTTAGACATAACGTTTTCTGACTGGAGCTTTTTTAGTACTGTTCTTTTTAAGTTTTGTGGTTGGTAACTCCATGCCCATTTTCTCTTTACATGTGATCGCCAGTAACCCTAGGTGGGACTTCAGGCGTAGTTCTGTAGGGAACAGTGATGAAAAGTAGATAAAACAACTGTTTTTCTTGAATGTAAATTGTTTAAATGTAAACCAAATAAGTTAGCTTCTACTTATGAGTTTTTGTAAGTGAAATTTTCTCAATATGTTACTGAATCATTCTACATTAGTTTGGTTTTTCTGCCATTCCATTCTTAAAGAATCATTTCTTATCTACTCCATGATAAAACCAATATTTATGTTTTTAAAAAGATGTGTTATAACTAAAAAATACAATGAATCTAAGTTTAATCAATATTTTAAAGTAATATTTTTCACTTATTTTTTACTCGCATAACTTAGTTTGTGAATATTATTGTCATGTGGATTGTCAAGATTATTCTATCAATGACTGTAAACAAGGTGCAACATGTTCACCAGGAAAACCTGTGGTGCGTTATTCTAGTGTGGGTGTGGGTGTGTGGGCTAGTAGATTATCTTCAGCATGCATTCCGTTTACTGTTGTATGTATATCATGTCTTGAAAACTAAATGTTGTAATGTCTCCATGTCAGTTTTGAGTTCTTTTTACTTTATATATACAGTGCTGCATGTTCGTTGGGTTACCAATGATGATGTCCACATAATGTATTTCATATTATTTTTAAATATTACACCAAACAGTGTAAATTATTTTTAAAACATATTTCTTGTCCTGTGTGGAGTTGTACGAGTAAGGCAAAAGATGGGAGCGATGGTTAGTTGGATTTAATAAAATTAGGACGATGGTTGTATTTTCATATTACCTAACTTTCATGTAATTTGTTAAGGGAATTTGGTTGTGTTTAATAATATCATCTTATTGCGATCTTATAAACTAGCAGATTAAAATCACTTCATATCTTTCTTTCTACGAACTAATTCTTTCTTCCTGTACTATGTTCTTATATGCAATCCTTTTATATATTACCACCACTACTTCTATGAATCCGGTGTTCATCTTGTTGTGCTAATGAGGTATGGCAACTTTGACCTATGTACATATATGCCTGGTCCTACGTTGTAGCTGACTGACTGATTGAGATGTTAATAAATCTCTTCATATTGTAAATGGTTATTGCATTCTGGATTGTGTGTTTTCAAAATCATTATTTTACTCAGAAGAAATTCAAATTACTTTTTGTAGGCATTTTATTCCAGTTTTATAATTGAGGTAGTATCTATTTGATAAATAAGAAAACTTGATAATTACTGTAGAGTATACGTTCTATCTTATGGAGCAGTGGCCTAATGAATAAATTACTCTGTTTTTAACCATTATGCCGAAAGTTTGAACCCTGTTCTATCTACTTCAGTTTGCAAAGCTGTGTATTATTATCAGCTCTCACACATTTAGTATGGATCAAGGCTGATTGACGTATCTCTGCGCTTGACAAATGATTTAGATTAATCACAATTGATTGATCACTGAGTGGTGATCAATGTCATGTGTATCAAGTCCAATTGTGATTACATCTCAGTCCTACAGGTGATCGGTCATGGCCCGGATAGCTCAGTGGTAACGTCTCTCACTGTGAAGCCGAGTGACACCAGATCGAATCCGTCAGGAAGCACCAGTTTCCTCAAGATTACAGGTACACCTTGCTGATGAGTGCCAAGTAGCACGAAACCCGGGTTTCCTGTCGACTACCTCCAACCACCATCTGATTTAGATTCAATATAGTCTACTGATATTTTTTGTGCAAACTGAATTTTGAATATAATTATGTGATTTGAATCACATTAAAACAGTTGCGTTTAAAATCTTTACAATCTTGTTCCATAATATTAAAAAAACCCCAAACTTTTAATACTTTAATAAAGAAACAACAAATTATGGCCAATTACTAATTTAATTGATCACTTTATCAGTTTTGTTTTCGTTTCCTGTTAATAATTCCATGCTGTTACTTAAACTTAGCCTGATTCTTAAGAGTGACAGAACTTATTACCGTTACCCTACACTTACACAATTGTATTCAAATAAATAACGCATATATATATATATATATATATATATATATATATATATATATATATATATGCTGTATTTTTTATCACACTTATACTTACATATACTGAGGTAAACTTATTCAGTGTTATAGGATACTATATTTTGTACTGTTTCACTAAAAGCAGTTGATATAATTATATGTACCTAATTTTTTTCTACTTGTCAATATCTACCAGCTACCAGAGCATTGTTGCATGTAACGTCATGGAATCTAATACCTTTCTAGGACATTTTTAGTTTAACTTCTAATTCCTAAAGTTATTGAATAGTTCACAAAAGGTCTAATTAAATGTTGATAATAATAATATACTTGTCTGTGACTAGCATTAAGAAGAATTCCGGAGGTTCTAGTAAGTTTAGTCATATCACTCAAGGGTCCTATTTGTATTAATTTATGGCTGTGAAACATAGACTTTTGAAGTAGGAGTAGTTCGGAAGCTTCGTCTTTTTCATCAAAGCAACGCTCGGGTTTGAAAAAACCTCCGAGCGTTCAATTTTTAAGTTAGATAGACGGTACTAGGTGAATATAGCAAACTGGTTGATGAGGCTGTAAATCTTTGCCCACTGGCGTAATTAAGACACAGATTGTGTATTCCTAACCAGTGTCCACTTCGACGACTAATGATTTCTGGTATGCCAATGGGTTGGGAGAAAGCTAGGGCCGATCAAACTAAGACGTGGTATCAGTCTGTAAGGTTATTGACAGTTGGTCTGAGTCATGTTGATAGATGGATACTACCTGACTTGAGTAACCGTGATCAGTGGTTAGAGACATTATGTGACATGCTTCACAATCAGTCACAATGGAGTAGATGCATATACTCTTTATCTTCCTATAGATCAAAATTTCCAGTATTTCTTCATTCATAGCTTCTCATTCCACTTTTTAGAACCATGTTCTCAATGGTTAGCCATTCTCCACATCAGTATTACTACATTATTTCAACTCTCTTCCTACCTGTTTTTTTTAAATTTCATCGCTTCGTGACAATTCGTTATGGTGACTTTGGTTAACGCACATTTGTGCAGAATTGCACTACGTTGACTACACCTGACAGATAGCTATATCAATAGTGAGACAGATATCGCTGACGATGTCTTCAGTATATCATAAATTTAGAACAGCCTATATAAGCGAACAATATTGTTTTCGACTAGATTCTGATTGTTCACTTATATATGTTGTTCTAAATTACAATATAGGAATTTTCCAAATATCATAAATTGAATAATGTCGGAAACCTTTGATTTACTGTATGCAAACTCAGTGGTGTTAAGTTATTGTAGTCGTTATGAAAGTTGAAGGTCCTTGGTCCGGTATTTGGTGAAGCTTTTATGTACGCACTGCAGAGGAATCCCGAAGTAGGACAAAACAATCACTTTTGGATATGTGATTTACAGAGTTTCTTCGTCTGATACCAGTTTGTAGTAGGAACCAACTACATACTGCAAAATCTCCACATACTCACGACTATACATACTAGCTGACAAACTCAACACAATATACCACATTATTTTGAACAGTTTATTCAATTCTTTGGTCAATGTGTCATCTTTCTCATTCAATGATTTCGATGGAGTCTTTTTTTTTCAGCATATCTTCCTGACAGAATTTCCTGAACCACTGTTACGTTATTTCGACAACTATTAACATCATAATATCAAAGATCACACAAACTTGTTAAACAAAAATGCAAAAATTATAATTAAATGCGTGAAACTAGCATTAATTGACCCTGATAAATTTAATTTTATTACACTAATTAAATATTCAAATTCCATCAGTCATCTAAACATATGTCATCCGCAACTGACCAGTTAACTTGTAACCTCGATTTCTCAACAAGTACGAAATTATTTATCAAGTAAGCTGGTTGAAAGGCATCCATTCCATATCAAATTCTGATCACACTTTGTTGAAGTGTAAACTGAGTAGTTAAATAACTTTATTCTCTTTTCCGTTTACTTCTCATGTTTAAATAACCTATTAGAGCATATATTCATCATAGGGATTTACTATAACCCACATATCAATAAGGTCATTAATCCTTATCAAAAGACCTTTGAAATAGATTCACATAAATCATTAGATACATGTATCCCTAGTTATTCTTCAAACAACGTAGCAGATTGTAGTTCTTCAGTACAGTTAGATGGTTGTTATACTCTACTAATTTTAAACATTATTATTTATCCTCTGAAATTTCTTACTTCCACTTGTATATCAGATTCAATTAATACTGACTTTAAATCTCGGCTATACTTCTGTTTAACATCACTTCAATCAGTTATTGCATTATTTTATTTTAACAATTGTCTTATATAACATATAATATAACCAACAGAATTGGTTATATCCACAAAATATATTAGTTTATCAGATGCATTCAAAACATTTTGACCGATCTTTTTAGATACATGATACTTTTTAGTATTTTTAATTCTGGCGGTATAGAGTAATGAATTATTGTCACACATTGATTTACGCTAGTATTTCGTTTTATTAATTTGTTTCATTACTTGTGAAAAATTATTTTATAAGATTTATTTTCTCTTGCCAACTATTTGTATAACCTACTAAAACGGATTAAAGATGACTTTATGAGTATACGTTTTAGTTTATCAAATGTTGACATGCTATATAACTTGTGCATATATATATATAATGAAAACAAAATTATCCCATCACTATATTGATACTAGAAATCCTTTTCCTACCTACATACGTATTTATACTGGGACAGATTTTTTAATCGATTATACGGTCATTAACATTTTAAAGATAATGTATGGATGATAGATAGACAAGGGACGCCAGTTAACATGACTTACCTGTAATATCATTCCAAACGTTTACTTTTCACAATGCTTTTTGTACTAGCTATTTCATTGCATGCTGACGGTGTTTTAAACAAATCAAATGATGTTTTCATTTAATTATTTGTTCTCTTGTACTTGAATTCTGTGTGTAGTCTATGCTATATCTCTTTCTGTTGTCTTTTTTTCTATTGAAAATGTCTAATTTCTAGTGAATTATTATTTTGCTCATTACTTCATTTCATTCCTAAAAAACAGTGTTCGCCACGTCAAACTCATCACTGGAGGGAGGGAAATTTACCAACCAATTCCAAGTGTTTCATATGTCGCAAGACATGCTGGTCATCTGAATGTCTTACAGGTTATCGTTGTCAATGGTGCGGTAGAACTGTGAGTTGTACCACTTGAATATTAATATTTTTACCGCTTACCTTGTAAGAGTCGTCGTAGGCACATAGATATATATCATGATATACGATATTAGAAAAGCGGTTAAGTAATTGTACTTATGAGTCCAAATATGTATATGGTTATTCATTACTTTTATGCTTAAACTCTTTATGCTGTTCAGATCTTTCTTTAATCAATTAGATTGTGGATATTGACTTAGTTCGGAGATAATTTTGTCACGAACTGGTGCTATTTTGATAGATATCATCTCCAGTTGGCATAAAATATGACTAAATACTGTATACTTCCGTGTTATTGATTAGTAAAAGGATAAAAATGACTAATTATCCACTTAATCAGGATTAAGAATGAGTTTTCATCGTCATAAATGTTTGTATTATATCTCTATCCATCAAGTAGTTTCAGTATAATGAAATTATTACGGATTGTGGTATAATTATTTGTAGGAAAATGAACTAATGGGAAAAAAATCAATTTCGGTTGGTTATCGGAGTAATATTGTTTCTCCTGTTTTTTGTTAACTCGAGTTACTGACATTTTGTCTACAGTCATGTCTACTACATATTAACTAAACATGGTCGTGTTAAATTTATTCCTTACATAAGATCGATTTCTTAAATAGCCTGTTTTACTAACCATAAACTGTGAAGGGTAATATTGTTTGTAGCTTTCGGAGTTCATTATATTTGATCATTCCACCTGAAATTAGGATTATTGGAAACGGGAACCAGTCCATTGCTAGCGCGATTCAATATGATGTCTGAAAGGAGATCTTACTTTCACTATACTCTGATTTCTCATAAAATGCACGGTCTTGTTACCTTATGTATATATTAGGTTTTTTCAAAACGTCATTCCAACCAGTGTGACCTTACAAGGGTGTAATAAATGGCTGAAATCGTAGGGTTGCTTGAGAGGTATTACAATTTGTGCAGCACGTATTTTTATTGAGAGATCACAATTTTTTAAACTACTGATGTTACATATTATGAGAGTAAGTTAAATGATTTGTAAATGGATCCTAATATTAATCTTTACTAGTCACTTTAGTAATATATAACAATCATTTAGATTAGTTTTCTTGGTACATATTCCAAAAATAGTATAACTATCGCCAATTTTGTATAAATTTTACTATAATTCAGAGTCATGCAGGATGTATAGAGAAAGTGGATGATGAGTGTGATTTCGGTCCTTTACGAGATATCATGTTACCTTCATTCTGTGTTAGCCTTCCACGGATGAATATTCCTATTGAACATGTGATTGGAGTAACTAAACGTCCACGAGGTGAGTTGTTTTACTCTTTTCTAACTAACTATTTAAACAAGTCATTCTGAGGAACTAAAAGGCTTTTCTATTTCTTAATACTACATCCATTCAATTTGACTCTTACTTTAGTCTTAAGGTTGTAGTTTGATAGTTTAGTTATTTAATATTCGGCCATACAATTTATAGCCTTTACTTTGTTACATTTATCAGGATTCAAAACACCGGTTAGTATCGTTCAGTCTGACACATTTTGTCTATGGCCTAGGGTTAAGTAATAATATAGTGTTGTATACTATTATATATATACTGGCATCGGTAGACCAGTAAGGTATATTCTAATATAAGATATCGTTCTGTTAAAATTTCATTATTATTTTTTAGGCGAGGAGAATCACGACAAAATATAAACAACTTCACAAATTCGTCATTTGTATCGGAAATTTTCAGCACTTTTGAAGACTATTGAAGACAATAATTATCATCAATTTGTGATTCTTTTTCGGTATTTTTAAGAGACTGTGGTTCAGTTGGCTTGAAATTTTAGATGGGTAATAAGTTATATTAATTAGCCATAGATGATAGTTTGTGGTGCTTTGAGTTACTTTGATGATATGAATTTATCGTATGATAAGTTGACTTTGGTCAATCTTTCAATGTGTTTGTACATCATTGATTGAATTCAGTTCAACTAATAATTTCGACTTCTGATTTCTGTTTTCTTTCAGGTCGAGCTATTTCAGCTGATTGGTCAAGCAGTGGAGAAAGCAAAGAGGATAGTTGGCACGATACACGATCTCCAAGAGAAACTATAGACCGTGCTAGTAGTGATGGTAAGAATAAGTTGTTGTTGTTAGATCTAGATTTCATTGCATTCCGTACTTGCCAGAATGGTGTACCTACAATTTTGCTGGGCGGTGCCAAATAGTATAGAACCTAACATCAGTTTCCTGTCGATCACCTCCAACTAGTTAACATATCAAAACAGTACACATAATTTCAAAGCATTTAGACTGGAGGGTGCATCATAACTTGATCAATAAAATTTGATTAGCAGTAAGGACTAGAAAAACATGACATTGGTCACTACTCAGTGGTCGGTCAATCGCAAATCATAGTATGTTTGTTGTTAGATTTAGTTATAGTGATTACACTAAATGTTTGTCATACAAGTGTATTGCATCATGCTTTCATGTCAAGATTTATTTGTTTAGCAAAAAAATGTTTCAAGAGAATATACTGGAATAATCTAAAAGAGATTGACAATAGTAGGTGGGGAAAGATATATATATAGAGTAATGTGATCAAGTATAAATTTATTTATCCCATTTCAACTGATACTAAACCACATTACTTAGGCTAAGTCACCTGCGTATTTATGTTGATTAACATTCCCCCAACATTATCATATATTTCGAAATTTCTCATTTGTCTTGAAAATTGAGTCAATGCATCAACAACACACATTGGTTGTATTTATGTTTCCTGGATGATTAATTTGATCTTGAAATAGTGAAGATTTGTCGCTCAAGTGGATGATCTTGATGGAGACAGGACAAGCTGTGAACCACATGTGGAGAAATTCGAACGCTTCACTTCTATCTAAAGTTTGTGCTGATGTCGTTCAGAAGAACGGTGAAAGCTCCACAACCAAACCATCCAGCTTAGAGAACAAAACTCCATCAAAATTAATTTGATCTCATATAAAATCTATTTCCAGATAAAGACGTTATCAAAGTTATATCATAAATTGAGAGTGCTACAAAAATCGATGCTTTCTATCGATTGTTGTTATAAGATAACTATAATCCATATTACAGACGAAAAATCCTCTTGTCGACATTTTATATTACAACTTCGCTATTTTATTTTTCAATCCCTTACTAGAATATGTATGTGTATTCGATGGTGTCGGAGCCTTAAAGAGACGTTCATGTCGAAGTTTCAGTTTTTCTAAATCAATGTCTACTTATTCGGCAGTTAAACGGTTTTTGAAAACATTTCATTTAGCTGGTACGCCTGATTATTACAATGTGTATGAAGTGAATGAACATGGTATGTTGTCGCCATTTTGTTCAGAAAGAAACTTACATTATTTGTTTTTTTAGTTATATTTTGTTTTCTTTGTCATATATGTCCCGTTGGCAATTTTCAAATCTAGTTTAGAAAATATTTGTATTATATATAGTTATCTTGCTTAAAGAACATAAGTGAAAAGAAACCAAGGACTGATCTTAAATAATTGTTCATTAAATTATCTTATCTGACTTCTTCTGTACAGGGAGCCTGGTTGAATCTTTAAACATTTTTACATTATTCAGAATTGAACCTTTAAATCAGTATTTGGATGGGGGGGGTGTGACCAAGTGATTTAACCACTGCCTTGGTGCTTCATTAAATCAAATTGAAGTACACACGTACTTTTATCCTGAAAAATTTTCAGCTTTGTTAGATACCTTTTGGTCATTTTATGTAGACATAATTAATGTTTATCAATAAATTATGTAACAAATATTTTTAAAATGAGAAGTACTTTCACAAGGTATATTTCATTGTTTCCAGTAAAGTGATTAATCCTATGATACGTAACTGTTTAAGAATTACCAGAAATATTTGATATTCTAATCTTTCTATTTTTTTATTGTCTTACATAATTTTCTGATTATGTTAATATTTGATTTGAAAAAATGTCGTATAATCCTCTTGTAATTATGTTCGATATATGCGTATAGTAAAATGTTAGTATTGTTACTAATATGAGACTATAACGTTGTCTTACTTCTACAATTTGTATTTATTATTAGGTAGAAAGCAACTTGAGTTTATTGTTTCCAGTGAATTACCTGAGTTGATTAATATATTTCCTTTTTATCATAGAAGTTTAGTACTCGAATAATGTATGTTAAATTGGTTTTTTTCCTATACTCTTCGGTTATATTTATCTATGGAACAGTTGTCTATGTACTAATTGTTGATTAATTATTGATCAGCTGCATATGATTAGGCTAAAACAATGGTGATTTGGTTTCTTCACATTACTTTTCATTTCTTTGTTAAAAAGTGAAGTAACAGTAGTAATAGTTAAACTGTCTTGTACATATGTCTAAAATAAATGCTGGATATCAAGTATAATAATAATAATAATAATAATAATAATGATAATAATAATAATAATAATAATAATAATAAAGTATATCACAACAATAGAGCTTTTAAACATGATCACAATGTTTTATTCTCATATATATGCTTTTATTTTTATTCTGTATAAATGGCGATTTCGCATAATCTTTAATGTATCTACATAAATTAATGTAATATAAAAAGAAGCATAACACATTATTTCTGACTGTCACATTTCATATCAACACCGTAGAAAGAAGGAAACCGTGTGATGACTAGAAGGAGAAAAGGGAGAAAATTGAGGAAAAATGGGTGAATAGCACTTGAATTAGAAACTGTTGAGTAGAATGTACGAAGGAATACAACTATATGAAATTGAATGTAATGAGTTAACCAAGTACATATTCGTGTAATCGTGTTTGAGTTTCATTTTATTTACGAGCATCAGTGATAAAACCATATTGTGCAAACTTAAGTAGATAGAGTAATATTCAAACCTGAAAACTGTAAACACTAAACCATTCCTCCATGCAATTATGTTATTAGTATCCTAAATTCCTAGCATCCTTACTCTATACATCGTGAACAATGGATATGTTTTTGTGGTCATAGCTATTTTGTCATTGGATTATATATTCTCAATCCATAATGATTGAATTATTATTTGAAGCAAACAGTATTTAAATAATTATGCAAGTTTTATGTGGGATTTCGCGTCCATATCATATCTAAATTCATTTTAATTTTCCATTTTTTTGCATAGATGGGACTGAAAACAAACTTAATTATCATGTCAATCTTCGTAGTCAGTTGAGATTTGATTTGAAGCAACCTTCCATATTGATTCGATCTAAAGAACCGGAGGAATCAACGATTACCATTAAAGTGTACGCTGGAGATTTACGGTACGTTTCAAAGTGTTACAAGTTCAAGTTTAGAACCTATGTAAATCTTTATTCTTCATTCATTTGGTTATATAGATTTGATTATAGTGAATAGTAAAAAAAAAAAACTGTTTTTTTTTCCAAGGTGGTCCAAATCTCACTTATTATGTAAATTCATCAATATGTGGTTGTCCTAATTCAAAGAAATAGAATGAGATTTTATTATGATTTATCCTGTAATTAATATTAAGTTCTTTTAACGAATTTGCATAAAAATAAAACACTTGATCAAGTTAATTATACCCTCATATATGAGAAAACAACAGTTTAGGAAATTATTTTTGCCATAAGTCAATATAAATATTTCATAAAACGTTTTCATATTTACATTTGGATACAGTAGATTGAAATAATAATAATCTCTGCGTATGTTTTTGTTTATTTTTATCTTTTGCCTCTTCCCCTTTAATGTATTCTTTGGTTTTAATACTCTCTATTTATGGATTGTATAGAAACTTAATATAAGCCAACTAGTAGGTTAAAAATTTATTTTCAGATCAGTTTATTACGAAAGAACAAAAAAAGATCACTGTTAGATAGAAAAACGTGTCTCACTTGTATATTTTTTATTCAGCTTTAAATCAAACCTATTATTGTTCAGCGGTGATGTTTGGCAACTTTTACGGAATCCCCATTTCTAATAGGATCTACTTTACTCATCTTGAGTGGTGTATCAGCGTTTTGTTACGTATTCATGATGATTACATTTTATTTTCTCTTACAGAATACAATTATCGGTTTTATTTTGTCATTTAATTCTTACTTCTTCGCTATTGATTTCATATGAAGTACTTTGGCGTTGTGTTCTTTGCTCTTAATAGTTTAATTTAAGAACTTTCGTTGTCGCTCTAGACAACATCATCGTTTGTTTCACGTAGAAATGAGCTTTTTTGGTAATTCTACAAGTCCTTGTTTTGATGATTTCGTTTCTACATAGTTGTCTTCTTAGATACTGTTGTTCTCAGTTGTTTTTGCATTTACTTTGACTTTGGTTAATCTCCTACACTGTGATTAAATGAACTCTTCCGCATGAACTGATATGTCGATATGTCCACAGGTTGACAATTGATCTGGATGGCATACTTCTATAAATCTTTTGGCATTCTTATATTTTCTTTTATCCAAAATTTCAACGTCGCTCTAATTGAATTCGTGTTCGTGATTCTCCGCGTGCACTGATATCAGTAATAACATATCATATCATTCCACTACTAATCTGTGTTCATTTTTACGACCATCTCATTTGAGGAACATTCATAATCCCTCCAACTTACTGCTCATCTTTGCCTTGTACCCTGTATTTAACTTCAACATTACTTACCCAGTCGTTCCGTGATATGCGAGTAGTGCTTCGAAGACATCTATGAATTAAAATTGGCAGTCTACACGTTTCTTCTTCTTTCATAGACCATTTTTCACAACCATGAAGTAATACAGTGTAAAATTCTGCACAATTTATTCATCCTTTAATTGGAGGACAAAAATTTTCATAGCCACGAATGGCGTAAGTTGATCAATATCAACTGAGCTTTGTGAATCTGTCGAGATTTAATCAGAAACTGGCACACCAGAATTGATCAGGCTTTCAACATAAACGAAATCGTCAATCCGCTCAACTATTTTACTTTCATTTTTAGTAGTTACTGACGCAGACCAGTCCTGGAGAAAAATTTTGAATTTAGAGGAATAAAAACATCCAACTCATGCTTGCATTGTTAATCAGGGCGATCAGAATGCTCTGGATCGCCTAAAATATATGCATTGTAAATATTTAGTCGTTTTCTCTTATTTAATTTGAACTTTTTAATAATAGCTAAAATAACAATTTCTTATGAGCATGTCTATGATTTAGACTATCATATGATGTTCCTAATTTTGGTCAGTATTTACGTATGACATTAGTTTCTAGTCAAACAGGATTGTGTATTATGTACTATAAAGAACTATTGCCTTGATCTTTATATCTTCCATATCGTTGGAGCTATTATTTTTATGGGTTAGATTGTTGAGTAAAATATTTATTAAGAACTCCATACTAGATTTCTATAGAAAGAAGATTGAATTACCAGTTATGTGTATTTGCTTCATTATATCCAATTCATTGTATGCTATCATTTATCCCAAATATATACATGTGAATATCACCTAGGATACAGGGTTTAATTGAAATATTCTGATACATTTTACTTATTAACTTGTATGTGATTAAAAGTAGCATTAAACTTAATGTGATGTGTTTTGGTTTGTATTTTACTCTTAAATGGATCGAACCTTTCTTTTTTTTCCAGCTGTTCTTATAGTACACTATTTATTGTTTTAGCTACAAATTTATTTATGTACTCGCACAATTTATTAGTTCTTTAAAACCAAAAACAGAACTTTTCTTGTTACAGCTTACTACTTGCTCCTCATGTACCTCCATATGAAGAGGTGACTATTAATTCCGAAACTACTGCATCCAAAGTGGTTGCAATGGCTTTGCATAATTTTGGTTGTGGAGTAAGTTAACATTAAAGATAATATGAAGTTACTTGTTGTTAACTTGTTTTGAAAACACGAATTTTATCAAGTTACTAGTCGCTATTGAAATCATCAAATAAAAAGCTTTTTTTACTTGAGTTGTCTGTTCTTATTGTTAAATCCCGACCGTAGTTGCTACCTTGACGCGGTGGTCGGGCTTGCCTATCGTCATAACCCAACCGAGTTATATTGGCTGGAGCATATGTTCCCGTAGGTTCTACTATGCCAGGCAGATCGATTGGAGAACGGTAAGACTAAAATCAGCAACTCAAGGTCTGAGGGCGAAGTCGTACTGCTGACTGTAGAGGGGTGTGACAGCAGTAAGGTGTTTCACTCGGGCAACCAGCATCTGCAGCGATGCTGCCTTCCCACAAGGAGGAGTGAGGTTAGAAAAGGTCGACCCTAAAATGTCACACCTCACCTTACCTCACTGATTTCCGTCTCCGGCGGTAAGGCCCTTTGAAGAACGGAGCTAACTCATTAAAAACCTTCCACAAAAGGGCCGTGCGCGACTGGCCTCAAGCAGTTGTCTCTTGGGCTCTGCGGTCACGCTCCCAGGTCGTTAAGACCAACACTAATCCAATTTTCTTTTCAGGTTCCTCAAGAAATACCCTTCCACAGTATGGGCAGCCGGGAAGTGATATCAGCTCTCATACCCGTAACAGCGCACGAGACCAAGTTGGTCACATTCAAATCCTTCCTACGCCTCCTAATACCTCTCTTATTTCCATGACTAACCCTCCTCACGTCTCTTTATCACCTCGCACCGCTAGGGCAAACAATTCGAGTACGCAGAACGTTATTCCTGGTCTACTGAAACCACGCTCTAAACTACACGTAGGAGCTTTTAACCTCCGAACACTGTGCCAAATAGGACATCAGGCTTCCTTAGCTAGGACTTTAGAATCTCGCGCCATCGATGTGTGCTGCGTCTCCGAAACGCGCATGCAGGGTCCGAGTAGCGTCATTCATTTGATATCACTATGTCAAAATAAAGAAACAACTCGATTCACGCTTTGTGTATCTGGAAGCCCTGATGCTGTTCCCCGTGGCCTCGCTGGCGCAGGTATAGCATTGAGTTCTAGGGCAGAACTAGCTCTCTTAGACTGGATCCCAGTAGACAATGGTTTGTGCGCTGTTTGAATAAACGGAACAGTAAGGACTCGGAAAGATAGGGACACTCATCGTTACCTCTTCGTCGTCTCTGCCTATTCTCTCACTGACTTCAGCGCAGATGATGTAAAAGATGAGTTTTACAGAAAGCTTTCCGACCTTCTTCGAAAAGCTAGGCGCTCTGATGTAGTACTAGTGGCCAGTGACTTTAGTGCTCAAGTAGGTAAACTAAGCGAAAAGGAAAGAAACCTGGGTGGATCTTTTGGTGTCGTGGATCAAAGAATAGATAATGGCGACCGTCTGTGCGTCTATGCTCAGATAACCCCCTCTTTCCTGCAAATACTAACTTCAAGCATAAGGAAAAACATCTTGTGATGGCTCTCTATTTGAACACAATTGGTCGAGTGAGAGCTTATGGCGAACATTGCTCATATATCCTGTGATCACCGAGTAAGTAACGCATATATATATATATATACTCATTATAAATCTTTTTTGTTTTTCTTTAGCATATGAGCCCAGATGACTGTTATTTAAGCAGTGTTTGTGTTGATCGTACAGTTAGTGAACAATTATTAAATAAAGATGATCGTCCAATGCTGCTGCTTGATCAGTTACGTGAAGAATCAGCTAGAATATCACAATTCACTCGATTCGAATTACGTTTTGTTGAAGATCCCCCTATCGGTCCTAGCGTCTCCTTGTTTGTAGGTAATCTTAAAGAAAACCTATCACAACGATTGTATGAACGTGTATTATTAGACAAATTAGGTGAGAAATGTCGTTGGGATTCAATTGAAGTAATATATTATGAAAGTGGTTGTCTTGTTTTAAATTATCACTCAAGTGAAAAAGCTGAACAAGCTTATGAATTATTAAATGTAAGCCATTAATTTTCTACAAATTAATTCCACTTTGTTTATTTATTTGTCATTTTCATTGAAATCGTGAATGGATCTAAATTAGATCACCATTGAAAACCTGGAAGCACTGGACAGACATTTCTTTCCATTATGGGACTCTTCAGGAAGAGGCGGTCATTCAATGCCTTCAAGTTTTTACTGATGGTCTGACTTAGATTCGTTCATGATTTCTATGAAAGTCAACAATTTCCACAATCCATTACTGACTATTTATTATTCTTTTTATATAATCTGTTTTAGTTCACCTGTAAATATTTCAAAATCTGCTTTATTGAAAACTAACAGATATTTATAAAGCTTGTCAAAATAATGGGCAAAGGGAGACGTAAAAATTGTTAGAGGAACAGTCAGTCATAAGCAATTTAGAACCTGACATATTGTGCACCTGGTTAGCTTTTTTTACCAGGGTTGTTTTCTGCGGGATGTGGTTGATGACCACATGCGCAACTTTCTTCCTCGTTTACCCGGGCATGGGACCGGCCATAAACCTGGAAGCGCTATAGACGGGGCTAAAGAAGCTGTCTTCACGCATCAGCCGGACTGTCATGTGAACATCATCCACAGGTTCTATCCAGCTACTATACCACGCGTGGACGTTTGCCTGTTGAGTTTCCCCCTGGGCCGGTCCGTCCCTCCTTGGAGGACCTGGAAAACCCTCGCTCCAACGGGTCATCCATATCGGCGTCTTACTTAGCGTGAATGCCCGACCAACATGAGCACCCATATGCCAGTAATCCCGGTCCCACGAAACTCCTCAACCTGGCCTCCTAGTATCTAGCTTACTGGCGGACGCCACCACGGACTACACTGCATAGTCGTTGATGGAGGACATGCATTCCAATTCAGGACCGGTGTCAGACAAGGCTGCTTACTCTCGTCCTTTTTCTTTCTTCTGATGGTTGGCTGGATTTTGAAGACCATATCTAAGGGTAAGCATGGAATACAATGAACAGGTTGGATGCAACTAGATAATTTGGACTTCGCAAATGACCTAGCTCTTCTATTCCATATCCACGAACAAAAGTAGGTGAAGACAACTAGAAGTTTCTGCATCAGTAGGCATCAGCATATACAAGGAAAACCTCAGGATCGTCAAATACAACACAGAGAACATCAACTCAATCACACTTAACGGAGAAGCTCTGAATAAGGTGGAGACTATCACGTACCTAGACAGCATGATCGATGAAAAGGGAGATCTGATGCAGACGTGATGGCGAGTATCAGTAAAGCAAGGACAGCATTCCTACAGTTGAAGAATATATGGAACTCAAAACAACCGTCTGCAAGCCAACTTCAAAGTGAGAATCTTCAATATGAACGTCAAAACAGCTATACTGTACAGAGCTAAAACTACGACAGCCAACATCATAAAAGTACAAGTATTTATAAACAATGGTCTACACAAGATAATCAATGTCCGTTGACCATATACCACGAGCAACAGTCTACTGTGGGGGAGAATAAACCAGTTTCTAACTGAAGAGGAAATTAAAGGAAGACTGGAAGTGGATAGGATATACATTACGGAAATCATCAAACTGCATCACGAGGCAAGCACTAACTTGTAATCCTAAAGGGAAACGGAAAAAAGGAAGACCGATAATTGGAAACAGACGTCACAAGAATGAATAGCAACTGAAAGTATTGCGTTGGATAGAGAATGTTTGTGGACGGCCTATGCTTCATGAGAGGTAACAGGCGTAAATAAGTACATTGTGCAGCGATTCAATTCGCCACACAATGTAATCATATCAAGATAAAATTATTAAGACAAATGCAATAATAGTAAAAGTACCACTGGAAGTAGTAAACACTAATTGTTACTAATATTACTCGAAAAGTGGAAAATGAATTTATTGAATAAAAAAGTACAAGTCTTTTAGAGTGAAGAATGGATACATTTACGCTATTGTTATCTATTCTAAGTTATGTTATTGAATGTTTACAACCATTCAGTACTAATTTATACAGTTTCTTTTTATTTCATTGCAATATTTGTATATATAAATTTATACTTTAATAGGAATCTATATTTATGAATAAACCAATAACTGCTCTACTTCTCCCAACAATTCACCCACAAAATTTACCTAAAGGAATTCAACCACTTTTAGTATTCGTCAATTTAAAATCTGGCGGTTGTCAAGGTGTCGATTTAATTGTTGCTTTTCGTCGATTACTCAATCCATTTCAAGTAAGCGTACATATGTTTTCCTGTGTTAGTATATTTTAATGTCTGTTTTGTTTTCATTTGTTTTGTTCACTAATTTACTGTATACACAACTATCGCTTATATTGTTTTATATACATTTTTTATCTCATTAACAATGTGTACCATTTATTGTAGCTCATTTCTTACGTCTTTTGAATTTAGTTTTCAAGTGTAACTGATTCAGTTGTGTGTGTGATTAATGATATTTTTCATTGATATTTTCTCTGATGACCTATTTTTTTTCCAAAAGTGCTTATTCATTTAATATAATTGATATCCGTTATTCTCATACTTTTTTCACTTTCTTTTTCTTTTCTACTTCCCAATGGCAATATCAGGCTGGGGATAAACTTCGCTTACGTTTTTTTAGTCACTCATTTGTACGTATTTCAAAGTAATTTCTATCATAGAATTAATTAGAGGCATGTTGTCTGCTGTGTTGTAATGTTTCTTCCATCATGACTGACTTGCCTACATTTGATGCGTTCCTAGCATAATGGAATGATATTTTTGTCGTAGAAATTTTTACATTTTTCATTCAAGCCAGCAAAAACAACAAGTAACGAACCACGCTCTCCATCATGGATTACGAAAGTGTATATAATAGTTCATTTTAGTTGGTTATCAGGCGAAAGTTCAAAATTGTGAACGAGAATGGAGTTTATCCTCACTCCGATTTCACCAACTTTAAAGGATCTCACTTTATTTTTATTATATATATATATATATATATATATATATATATATATATATATATATATATATATATATATATATATAGAGAGAGAGAGAGAGAGAGAGAGAGAGAGAGCAGTTTAGTTAGTCAATCGTACACATATTATACTTAAATATTGTAATCATCTCGTATTTTATTAATTTATACTTTAATTATTGGTTAATATTGTGTGATGCTTAATTGTGTGGCGTAGATATATCTGGCGCTCCCTTGTACCAATATTTATGTGTTCAAATAAATAAACAAATAGATGCCCAAAATATTACATTATTTAACGATACTTCTACCCTATTTCCATCGAGTTATTTTTTTAAATAATTAGATTTACATAAAAATTAAATAATTTGTAATTTCGAATTTGTTCAATTATTTTTATAAATTAAATGAGAATAATTACTTGGGTATTATTCTGTTCTTAATTTCGAATGATCTGCTGTTTTGTTGTTGTTTTAGATTATTATTTTTCTTTGAACACATAGATATTGATAAAAGAGGCGCCAAATAAATATTCGCCACACAAATCTTATTTGATTTGTGTGAAGGCTGTGATACTGTCCGAATGCCAAAGTCGAAGCAGGTGGTTTTCTTAGGGGGCCACACCCGGAGCCTTCGACCTATAGGTTTGATCCACAAGGCAGGGGAGCATCGTAAGGAGATGCAGTCCCATGGTAGCCGATGACCAACGATTGGTTCATACGCCATTTGTTCCCTCAGGGTACTGGAGCCCATGTTCACTATTGGTTTGGAATCAGATTTTCCAACTCCCCTAGGTAGACTCACCGTGTCCACCGGCCCGGGTAAAGCGCCGAACATTCGCTTTTCTTCCTCTCAACTTCGTAAACAATACCCCCGACACGAGAAGTTAGTGAGTAGGACTTCCCTGCCAGAGGCTATATACGCGTAGCCATGTGAGAGCATTTGGAGAGGGAGAACGGTCTCTCCCCACTCTCGGCCGTACCAGTGCATTTGGGGGCGTTGTTTTAGATATTTTCATTTCAATGAAGTGTACAGTTTCATTTTGTTAGATATGACATTTTGACTAACTTTTTAACTGTTTAAGTTCAATTAACGTAATTATATTTAGATTAAATAAATATTATTGCTATTAGTTTTTGTTAATAATTAATCTACCTTGTAATCTATTACATTAAAATTCATCTTGTGAATGAGTTGTATTGTATATTTCTTTCATTTAGACTGATGCAAAAGAATAATGAATATTTTACATCGAATTCATGATGAAATATATTTAATGCATTTTTGTTTTGTCATTTTATTATAAACAACGAAACGTTTGCAAATATAATCATGAATGTTGATGAACTTTACCCACTTGCTTAAATATCAAATATGACATTTCGATGGTAATGTATACAGTTTATTTGTTTGTTCGACTTCAATCATCATTTCATCTGTTGTTTCATTGTTTTTGTTCTTTTTTATTAGGTATTTAACCTTGATTATGGTGGTCCTTTACCTGGTCTATATTGCTTTCGTCATTTAGCCTCATATAAGATTCTTGTTTGTGGTGGAGATGGTACAGTAGGATGGACATTGTCATGTTTGGATATTGTTGGACAGGATGCAGCATGTAACGCTCCTCCTATTGCTCCTCTTCCTCTTGGGACTGGTAATGATCTATCTCGTGTTCTTCGATGGGGTTCTGGTTATTCATCAGCTGATGATCCTCTAACTATTTTAAAGGATGTAGTTGCCGCTGAAGAAGTGAAGTTAGACCGGTACATAACATTATTTCAATTCATATTTTATCGACAATTACTCATACGACCATAGTTTACATCACTGACTGATTTTAGCCAACCGATGTACATCAGAAAGCACTGAACAGAGCTGGTTCATTTTGGTAGGAGACTGCTCATCTGGGATCCTATCCAGGACCTTCAGGTTTCGCAGCAGGTACTCAACGTTTAGTTACTCGATGGGAATCCAGTGGTTTACATTTCTAATGCTGATTTATTCGTGATATCGCACATCTAGCTTCTGATACCATTGATGAGTAACTGTTTCGCACCACAGACATGGTTGAATTCTGATGGCTATGGCTTCTCACTAGAACTCCGAGAATTTCCTATCGAAATTAGTCACTAATGAAGACACAGTTATTATTGATGATGACACCACAAAATAATGATTGTCATAAATGTTGACTATAATATTCAACAATCCCTACAAAACTATCAGCTACGTACTTATATAATTATGTTTATCTTATGAACTTCTGGACTTTTGATAACTATTCTTTACTCATTTATACGAATATTCGTCGAGATTAGAACGAATAATTTGACAGTAATTGAGCGCCGAGTAGCATTTTTTGTGTCGTATTGAAGAAATGAACCTTTTTTAATATTTTTTAAATAAACCTACTTAACGCTCAGAGATTACATAAGGAACTAATTCATGATACATTAGTCTCTTGTCAAATGCAAACCCAAAACATTTTTCTTCCCTCCTTGTATGACAAATCAGTTGAGTAGTTGTATACTACGTATTAGTTATAATAAAAGTACAATATTTGTTAGACAGTTTTTGATTTCACTCCTGATAATGATCATTCTGAAATATTAGTTAGCAGGGAAGGTACTCTTATAAAACCATAAGTGACGTAGCTCAGAATTAATGTCAGTAGCGTTTTCCTTCAAACTTAAACTTTATAAATTGCTGTACTTTTTTATCCCATGAATTCATTCCTTCTTGAATTATAATTTCTATGCCTAATGTTTTTTTACCTTCATCAATGGTGTTACTACTTCTATTGTTGTTATTCTTGTCTTGATAACTTCATGTTATTGTGTTGATATGATGTAGCAAATTGAATCGTTGTACAGTGTGCCGGAATTCTAAGTTTCTTTACGGATTGACAGACTTTATTTATTAAAACAACACCCTCATTATTACTTCCTTTTTTATTACTACTGATAATTGGTTATAGATGGACGTTGATTGTTCGACCAGAAGAAGATTTTAAAGATGAAACAAAATTAGCTTTAGAATTACAAACCAATGCATCGAATACAAATGAAGATAATTCAATTATGATTATTATGAATAATTATTTTGGCATCGGTATAGATGCTGATTTATCATTAGATTTTCATAATGCGCGTTCAGAGAATCCATCAAAATTCAATAGCCGGTAAATTATTGTAATTTTTCTGTATGTGTCCCTTCTTCAGTTTTTGTGCTAGTTTTTCATTCTTCCTTGTGCATATTAGAGATGATTAAAGGAGTCAGTCGTCAATAAATCTCAGGCATAAGATGGTTACGTGTTAGTTTCATTTTTAAAAGGACTATTTCTCTCCATGGGATTCGAACCCATGTCACTTATTGTCATAATCAGAAGCGTTTCTCGATGAGCTAACCAAACACCGATCGATCTTCTGAGGAAATAAGATATTTACGTTGGTTGTTCACTAAATAATAACCAATATTATGTTCTTTTATCGTAAATGGTGAACATATTCTATCGACCAAATCTGTGCCTAAATTGGTGGGATTTGATCTGACATGAAGGTAGTTAATGCTTTAAGGTAAAGATGCTATTTCTACCGTGACATCAACATCCTTTGGATAAATTATATTAAAAATCAAGTAGTGTTGGACAGTTTGTTTTTGTTTTCTGGCTTGCTAAAATTACTCAATGAATTTATTGATTCATATCTTCTAGAACTTTTGGAACCCTTAATGATCATTTCAGTTTGTAGAAAACAAGGTTCACTACCAAACCAAGAGATATTTTCAGCTACTAACTAGGTCGCTGTAGTAAAGACTATCTTCTTTTGTTTTAAATACCCTACCTTTTTGTACGGTTCTTATAATGCGGAAGGAAAACTGTATGTTTATATATTAGTATGTGATCAATCGCCTGAGCTGAAGTGAGTCTTTATCGTTTAGTGACAAGAACATGCGAAAACCAACCTACTGATGATGGATGGATATTAAGAGATAGGACAAATGAGTTAAGAGTTGTATTTTTCTACTAATTGAACTTTATATTCAAAATATTAAGCACAGCATTAAGTATAATTAAATGTCATTCTAAGCATAAATGATTGTAGCATATATGAATATTATAGGATCAAATTATAATTTGTTCATCAGATGTTTTTTTATTATTTGTCTTATCAGTTCTTCAGACAAGTTATCACGTGTTTAGCATTTAATAAATACGAAAAAGTTATTTTCACTTTTTTGTGTGTACTCAATGATTTCACATAACAACTAAACTCTTGAGACATTTCATTGATTATTAATCAGTTTTAGTTTACTGTGCCAGGCTGTATTTTAATCTAATCTCCATATATTACACATTGAAACTCTATTTTTTAAGCAACAATGCAAGCATGTTCGGGATGCGATTCTCTCCCTCGAAATGCGAAATGTTACTTCAGGATTGGGTTGTATCAACACCCGAACTAATGATAGGGAGTGAAGTAGTTGAGTGTGTCGACCACTCCACTTATCTTGGAAGTCTGATCATCCCTTGTGGTCTGGTGTGTGACGAAATCTCAGCACGGATACAGAAGGCTCGACTAGCTTTTGCCAACTTGCGTCATTTATGGCGTAGGCGAGATATCCGTCTATCAACCAAAGGACGGGTTTACTGCGCAGCAGTTTGTTCCATCCTACTTTGTGGTAGTGAAACATGGCCGGTAAGTGTAGAGGATATTCGTGGGTTACTAGTATTTGATCATAGTAAGTTCAAAACATTGCTCGTATATCCTGGGACCACTGTGTAAGTAATGCAATTGTTAGGAAGCGGGTACAAGGTAAGGATGGCAAGTCAATTGATGACGTAATGAAACTTCATCAGTTGAGATGGCCGGGACACGTGTTACGTATGCCCAACCACTGACTGCCCCGACGTGTGATGTTTTCTGGTGTAGGAGTGGGTTGGAAGAAAGTTAAGGGCGGCCAGACCAAAACATGGCACAAATCCATGAAGTCATTGACAAGTGGACTGAGTCATGTCGGTAGGTGTAGACTACGTGGTTGGGGACCGCGTGATGATAGCAACCGACGGTTAGAGACCTTGAATGACATGGCTCAAAATCGTTTGCAATGGTGCAGGTGCATCCACTCTCTGTGTTCTCCCAAATTCTAATCTTCTGAATTCTTCATGTCCCTTCCTTTTTTTCCTCTTTCCAAATTTATTTTACTGGATTATGGTCGTTGAATAACATCTTCAAACCCTAATGTTTCCTATTACTGCTTATACTCTTACTACCTCTACCACTACGGGATTTGAATCGACCACGGCATCTCTGTGCTAATGTGGTGTGGCAACTCGTACTGATGTACGTACGTACGTACGTACGTACGATGTTCTACGTTGTTACTGACTTACTGACTATTTTGTTCTTTATTACTGTTGTTAATAAATAGATTTTATTAAAAATGATAAGAATTGTTGCAGATGAATTTCATCTTACTTTTTTATGTTCAAAAGAATAATTACAGTCCATGGATATTTTGATTAATGTATTATTTTATTTCTCGTTTAGTATTCACAATAAAGGTGTTTATTTTAAAATTGGTTTAAGAAAAATGATTAATCGAACTATTTGCAAAGATTTACACAAACAAATTGTGGTTATTGCTGATGGGAAAATTGTCATATTACCACCAATTGAAGGTCTAGTTGTATTAAATATTCTTTCTTGGGGTGGTGGAGCTAATCCATGGAATGTGGAAAAACATGATGATGAATTTGTTAAACCTACACATTATGATGGTTTACTTGAAGTTGTTGGTATTTCTGGTGTAGTTCATATGGGACAAATCTATTCTGGTCTTGGCACTGGGATTCGTCTTGCTCAAGCAGCACATGTAATTTGGACTTTTTTTTAAATATTAAAAATGATTTGTTAGATTTCGTAAAATTAATCTGTTTTATTTTGAATATTTATTAAAACACCATTGTAAATGTTAACAACATATTTTTTGAATCTTAAAATTATTTTTTTTCCCAAATGTAGTTAATTTAACTCTTTTCCAAAGTGGTCGCTAATATATTCGCTCACTTTATGTAGGTAAGCGTTGATGATGTTGTCCACAACGATAATATGAATGTACTTAACGATTAAATCATCAAGTTCAGAGAATACAAAACAACGTAAAACGTCTGCCTAAATTAAACATTTTTACCGTTTCATGATAAACTAAAGATAACATAAATGAATTAAGATTTTTCTAAACTAAATTTTTTTTCAAACCACCATTTATCACATACTTTAAGAGCTTTTAGCGAATGTAGTTAGCACTCGGGTGATTGTTTATATTTATTTGAAATTTAAAGTGTCTTTCTTCTTTGAAACATGACCACCAAGCTTAAATATGTAGACAAATTTACAGGTCTGTTGTGAGACATCAGCTCACTGAAGACAATGATGTACGGTGGCGCAACTTCGTGGATTGGTTGAAGTTAGACATTAGCACCGTTGGATACCGGCTCAGTGGTCTAGTTGGTTAAGCGCCTGGCGCGAGACTGATAGGTTATGAATTCGAATCTCGCAGGGTGCAGGATCGTGGATGCGCACTGCTGAGGAGTCCCATACTAGGACGAAATGGCCGTCCAGTCCTTCCAGGTTTTCCATGGTGATCTAGCTTTAATTGAATCATGATTTCAATCAGTGAAATATACATGTGTTTGATTATACGTCTCGCTAAAGTATTGGTCATGTGTAACAGAACCACTAGGTTAAAAACGTTGATGTTAGATGCAAAGTTTTAGGTAGGTAGAGAAGATCAAATGAAAGGGCTGTTGACTTACTTTGATTGCGGTAACTAGCTCGTATACTAAATGTGCAAACAACTACTCATCTTGGCATATGCTAGGCGAATCAGATTAAAATATTAAGGATTTCATTGCTTTTGATCAATGTCTATCTTTTCCGGCACATCACTTTTTATCAGAATACCTTTTCTTGTTCAATTCTGTTGTTGCAAGGTTTACTTGATACTTGAACTTACGAAAATTTGCGCAAAATCCCAAAATGTGATAAACTTTTCTTAATTCTCTTGTTACAGTTTTTGCTGTGTAATCCGTTAAAGATTTTATTATCTTGTAAAACACATTTGTCCTAAAATAATGTCCAATTTCAAGCTACTTTTCTAGTTAGTGCGTGTTTCTAACTGATGCATTTTTTTTCGGTTTAAAAATTAAGTTTTCTATAGACAGTGAATTTAAAAATAAACGATATGAAAATTCGTTCAATTATCCATGGAATATAGATTAAACTGATTGTTTTTTTCCCTCCACGAACTAGTTTCAGTACAGTCCATCTTATTTTATGCTAAGCTATTTGATGGTTTGTATCTTCTTTTTACAAAAAGCATTTTAAATATATATATATGTTATCTGTATGTTCTCTATTGTCGGCATGGGTCTGCTCAGTTATCGTGAGTTATATAGCCCATAATTGTTAACAAGATTAGAGATGTATTCAATTCCCATAGATCTTGAGTTTTAGGATTACCGCATACTTTTCTATTTCTTTAATTCATTCATTCTTCTCGAATCATATTGTCTATTCTTAGTATTTTCTTATTTTACTGATGCTGTTAGTAATTATACTACTGTGAGATTCGTTTTGATAAATTCTGGCTTGCTAACTTATTATATATTCAGTTTGATCACCTTATCAGAATTTCGTAGTAATTCTTAGGCATAACATGGATAGTTAAGGTATTCATTAGCTTTTCTATTTCTTCATTATCTAAAATTGACATTGACTTTTTAAAAAAACAAAACAATTTTCTAACTAGTTCACTTCAAGAATAAATATAACTTCCTGACGTATTATTTACAATTAAGAAACACTAAACAAAGATGGATGGTGGCTAGCAGTGGAATCCAGGACGCGCGTTTCATCCTATTTGGGACTCGTCAGCTGGGTGTACCTGTATATATTGCTTGTGACTTAAGAATGCACATATGCCAACGAGACTGATCAATTACAGTCTTAAATATCAATGGGAAAATTCAAACAAACATTATAAAATGAATTTACTAAACAGGTAGCTTGTTTATTCTAATTTTGAAAGCTCTGCATACAGAAATGACTAGCGATATCACGAGTTTTGCTTTCCTATATGTATGCATTTTTTGGGAAAGCTATGTATGTATAGGGAAATGCTTTTTGATCTTTTCACTTGGTGTTCCTTTTCTTTTTAAATAAGAATAATTTATGCTGTTGAGTGATTTATCTATGTTTTTTTATTTATAGTTTCCTATTGATTAGCTCTCTTTATTATACCATGTGATATATTACTTCTTATGGAGAGTATAATTTTCTTCACTAATTATTTCTTATTGTCGTAAACTGTTCTATCCTTTTTGTTTTTTAATCCCTAATAGAATCTCTATTTTAAATTTGTTTGCTGTTTTTCAATTTGAAAAAGAAAAACAACAAATCAACGCAGCATTTATTATGCACATCTACTTTTATTATTTATAATTAGTTGAATAAATTATATCTTGACTGAATTTCCTCTGATTATTTGTGCTTTCTAGATTAAATGTTTGTAGATACAGAATAGATCAATGGGAAGATACAAGTAAAACAATACCAAGTGAATTTAAATTCACCCCATTGCACAAGCAAGTGGCTATGAGGACTCAGTAGCTGAGTGGATAACGCGATGGCGTTTGAAGCGAATAGTACTGGGTTCGAGTCTCAGAGTACATCCAGCTGACGAGTCCCGAAATGCGTGTCCTGAATTACACTGCTAGCCACCATCCGTCTTTGCTTATAAAAGCTTGTGTATTAAGACAATATCGAAGCATACGCACAGTATGCACATATACCAATAACCTCAATGGGAAGATACAGGCAAAACAATAACACGTGAAAATGAATAGTCGTTTTTTTTAGTATTTAAATGAGTGTTATATTTCAATCATTATCAAGCATAAATTAATTGATATTGAAAATTTTCTGTTTTGTCATTAGTTGAAAATTTGGCTTAAATCTGAGCTTCCTATTCAAGTTGACGGCGAACCATTTATTCATCCACCTGGTCAAATTACTGTACTACGTTCCGCATTGAGTGTAAGCGTGTCATTTTAGTTATTTTAATATAATGTTAAATTATGTTCATTTAATTTCTTTTCTAGTCTATGTTTACATTTGCAAAGTTTTTATCTTCAATCTCTCACTTACATTTGCTGCACATGCTTTCATCGTGAGCTAGTAAATCATTGATAATTAAGTGACATTGATATTTTGTCGTGATTTACGGACACTCCATCCGAAACTCAGCTTGAGATTAAGTCGTGAACATTACGATCCTTGTAGCAAACACAATACTTCAAGACTAAATTTGAAATCCGGTCATCCACACCAACTTACAGTTACTTCAAGTCATTTTATCTTATGGTAGACACAAAATAGCGGGATTCTTACTAATGATCATATCGATAGTATGGCTGGAACACATAATAAGTCTGTTATTTTACGGCTTTTCACTGACATAAAACTTTAGATAATATTCAGTTTGTAAGTATATCAGCTTAATCTTTATCGTACTTGATTACTTTAGTCATTTCCGCAATTTGTTTTATTCCATAATACGTATGTAGGCCAATATGTTAAGAAAGGTTAAACGACCTAAACGAAGACCTGGTACAGAGGACTATGGGTTGAATCAATTATCATCTACTACAGATCAGCAGTATCAAAATTCAATACAACAATATTCAACCATCAGATTGCATGATTTCAATTCATCATCTGATTATTCATCTTTAAGTGTGATACATAATATAAAGGAAGATTTACATCTTCCTATAAATAAGTTAAATATGGATCCATTCATTTCTGATACACCTACTTATAGTAAACCAATCATTAATTTAACATCAAAACCAATTTATAATAAGGTTAATACACCAACCAATACTGTACAGTCATCAACAGTGTCTGTAATACATTCAAATGATAACGACAATAGTCAGCTAATAGCTGATGATACTGCCGCTGTTTATTATCAAGGAAGCCTTACAAACACTTTAAATCAATTAAGTTTAGGCAGTAATATTCGCAGTCAAGAAGTATTATCGTCTTCTTCTTCTGTCAATCTTTCTTCATCATTAATACGTATATGCTCGTACACAACACTATCAGGTGATGAAAGTGTGTAAAATTCATTCCTTTTCTTAATCGGATGAAAAGATATCTATTTTTATATTTTTATGAATTATACTGCATGTGTTCGTCGGAAAAAAAACACTAAGCAAGACCATTGTAATAATATATGCAAGCTGTATAATGTAACTTTATTATTTCATTTCTTTTAGTAATGTCATTTCGAATTTTCCTTTTTTATTTTAAAGATAGGTTTGTCCTTTTCGAGACATATATATTTGTTTCTTTTTGTAAATTCCATTATATATTAAGTCGTCTTTGATGTCATCGAATATTCTCATCCATCTTGTTTTATTCTCGCTAATATTTCCCTCTTCTGTACTTCCCTCCTTTCCAACGGGGTGTGCATCTTTTAATGGGAGAGTACTTGTTTTATTTGTTCATCTGTACATGTGCGTGTGTTCAGTTTCAAAAACAGGTAGGAATACTTAATTATTGTTGTCATTTTGATTATCTACTTATTAGCAGTGTTATTAGTAGTATACATAGCAACAATAAATTATTAAATTCAAACTGTTGTTACGGTATAATTTAATCAGTCATTACCATTATTGAGTCGCGTTTTTTAAAATTAGATTATTTGTTTGTTAGTAGAATTTCCATTATATTTTACTCATTATTATATTGTTACGAAGATTAAAAAAAAGTTAATCATAGTCTATTGTAAACTAATTTTCATCAATGTATTCAAATATATAGTGGGGTAAATAATCAATCATGAGCCGTAGTTTTACAGGTTAGCGTTTTTATGTCAATTCGTCTATTGTAATTTTGGTAGTTCCATTGTACATTGTTCTTAATGAAGTAGATTTGATGTGTGCTTGTTAAATATTGGTCACTTACTTGTATTTGTCCTTTAGTTCATGCGCACGAGTGTTCATGGAAAGTGAAAGTAGTTGTTTTCTTCAATCGCATAATTCTAAACCAAAGTGTGATGTAATCTAAATGCTACACGTCTTGTGTCGTATTCGTTTAATGACTATTCCGAGGTGTGTTATAGGTAAACAATACTTACAATAATTAGCCCCCAAATGCCCTGGTATGGCCGAGAGCGGGGTGGGCCCTCCCTCCCTCTTTCACACGGCCACGCGTATACAGCCTCTGCCATGGAAGTTCTACTCACTGCCTTCTCGTGGCGGGGGTGTTGTTTACGAAAATAAGAGAACAAAAAGCGAATGTCCGGCGCTTTAACCGGATTCCAAACCAATGGTGCACATGGGCTCCAGTACCCTGAGGGAACAAATGGCGTATGAACCGATCGTTGGTCACCGGCTATCATAGAACTGCATCTCCTTACGATGCTCCATTGCCCTGTGTGTTAGACCTTTAGGTCGAAGGCTCGGGGTGTGGCCCCCTAAGAAAACCATCTGCTTTGGTCTGGGCACCGGGCAGTATCACAGCCCACACACATACAAATATGGTGTGGCGTATATATATTTGGTGCCCTCTTTTATCAATATTTATGTGTTCGAATAAAAAATAAAAAACAATAATTAGTCAGTTATTAGTTATATTAGGTTTTGTGAATGATTATGGACAGTATGCTTTAATATGGTAATAATTTTCGAGGGTGAACTATCCATTTGTCCTATAAAACAGCGTTTTCTAGAAGACTTAGTTTCCAAGTACTAATCCGAATTTATTTTCCGACTATTTAGTGTTACACCTTCATTATTCAGTTATTTGACAAATAACTGAAGCAGTCTGTTCAGCCTGTAATAATTTAAAGATTCTTTAAAACTACTAAACTGTTTTCATAAGTGGGAATTCCCTACTGGTTGTCAATTTTTACACTAGTAAAAGAATGTTTATGTTGTTTATATCAAGTTACATCTAATTAACTATTTAGTGGTTAAATTTTGGCTGGCTTAACCGTAAAATCACAATATAGACAGATCAATTTTAGGCATCCGAAATAATCTAATTTCTCAACGATAAAATTCCATTAGTTTACAAGATCATTTGTTCAAACTGTTTGAGAAGTGCAAATGTCCCGATTTAAATTCTCGAGATAAAATTCATCTTTCTCTGAGTCTTGGACATATTGTTGTCCCCACATTTTATTTTATTTATTTATTTCATCATTTCCCGCTTAATTTACACCAATGTTGAATATTCACTCTTGTGATGTTATGTGAGCTATGACAATATGGACAGATAGACGTTACTATCAGGTTCGGAGTTATTTATGTCTCTCTGGCTACAAGGTGAAATGCCTTGTTCATGAACTGTGTACAGCACATTTAAGAGATCACAGCATTGTATTCTATAAATGCACTCCAATAGGCAGTAAGTATAAATAGTTGCTGGCGCTAAAATATCACTATTCTACAAAAAATGACGGTAGTAGTTAAAGTAAGCTACTCAAATATATGTAGAAGTTATACATATTCAAATCACGGATGTTCAAGTCAGTCTCAAAATGCTTAATAGTCCAAACAGACTGGACAAAATAAGTACAATTTGTAAGAAATGATTATAACGAATTGTATGAATTCAATCTACTCATCGATTACTCCAAATTAACGAATACGGTATAAGAACTTTCTTAAAGAGTTACTGGAAATTCAAAAGTTGCGCACTTTATAGGTTGAATGTATTTTCTAGCGTATAATAATTATGCATCACACTCACCAAACGGATAAACACAATTATCTCATACAAATAAGACTATATTATAATTCAAATATTGCTTATCACATATTGATGGTCATTCAAAAGAAAAATGACAAAAATGCAACACTACCAGGGAATATTTTGAGGAATATAGAAAATAAAAAAAGAAGACAGGAGTAGGAAAAAAACTGATTCTGCTCACTACAACAATATACAAAGTGACAAAAACGAAGATAAATGCAAAAGTAACTAGAAACACAGAGGTCGTTATGAATAAAATTACCAGAACCGTACACAGAAGTGTTTGAATTGTTACTAATTGTTGTGGCGAGATTATTATATAATTCATGGTGATTAGCCTCAGTGTTCAAATCATGATGACGGCTGGAGACCGAAATCAATTAGATGTAACCAAACGACGGCGAATACATGATTCAGTTACATCACCTGGTAAAAATTAAAGAATATACCTTATCATTGCCAGAAAATAAAAGGACACATGTATTACTTACTACTGTTAAAACTCATGGAGCATAGGTCACCCACCAGCATTCTCCATCCAACTCTGTCCTACGCAATCCTTTCCGGTTGTTTCCAGATGCTATTCATTCTTACAATGTCTGCTTACAATTCCCAACGCAATATATTCCTAGGCCTTCCTCTTTTCCATTCACCTTCAGTACTACAAATTACTGCTTGTCTCATGATGCAGTTTGATGATTTCCATAATGTATATCCCATCCACCTCCAACATCTTTTCCTAATTCCCTCTTCATCTGGAAGCTGGTTTATTCTCTGCCACAGTGGGTTATTGCTGATGGTATCCGGTGGACGAACATTGAGTATCTTGTGTAGACAGTTGTTTATCAATACTTGTACATTTTTGATTATGGTTGTAGCCGTTCTCTAAATTTCAACTCCATAGAGTAGAACTGGCATTGTATTCGATGCTTCCACTGAGATGTGGAGGTCTTCATAATGCAGTAAACCACCAGAAGAAAGATAAAGGGAGGGTAAGCAGCATTGTCTGACACCGAACGCATGTCATCCTATGATATCCTCGTATCCGGTGTTGTCCATTCCGACTTTGGCGGATGGTGAGGTCCTTTGTTGGGTACTTTGATATGATCGATTGCAGCTTCGCGTAAAACTTATCTTTATCGTCTTCACTGTTATCATTAATGGTTGCATAGCACTGGATAACATTCATTGTGATTCCCTTCTTTGTTTTGATGTTTTGGTGATCCTGGATTCATGAGATTTCCACCCTATAAGTGTTTTCTGTGCCTCTTCGGACAGCACCAGAGCAACTCCCTGTGTGTGCGGAACCAATTTTTTTCTTCGTGACCCGAGTACAGCAGCCCCCCAAATTTAACCTTTCCTGTCCAAATTGGGTCCACTGATCCCGAGCGCCATCACGTTGTATCGTATTATTATTAATGGCTTTATTCAATATTATATTTTGGTACAATATAGAATTCTCATTCCTGTAACTATTTGACTGGTCCTCCCGGTCTCCAACATTTTTCGAGCATTTCATGTACCTGTATTAACTTTGCTCTGGTTGTTAGAAGGGGCATTGGCCACGTGACTTCCGAAAAGTCTCGGATTTTACTATGAAGCGTCATAATTATTCTGAATAAATATCCTAGAACTCCCAGGGCAGAGTTTAAATGGTTTGATTTGCTTGTTCTGGTTAGCGTTTTTAACAAGGTTTTCAATAGGATGGGATTGCTGACGCCATACCCAACTCTCTTCCTTTACATGGGCTTGGGACCGGCAGTATATATTTACATAGGGCGAGAAAGGTTGATCACACAATGAACTTCGGTTGTACTTTAGTTATAAACAGACTTATAAAGTGATTTACGAAAGTAAGTTCTCGCTTTTGATCAGTCATAAACCACTGTTTACATTATCTTGAAAAGTACATAGGCGTACAAGCCTAATAAAACATATAGCTTAGGAGTAATCCTGTTGAAATTCGATGGCTAATGTATAAGAGTTGATAATGAGAATCGGAGAAAATTTTGAAGGAAACTGGTACTAAGCAAAGTAGACTCTAGTACTATTAAAGATGTGTGAGAGGTCGATATTAAAATTCACGATAATGTGAGATAGTTTCTCCTTGAGAACACTAGCTGGGAAGCATGAGCAACAAATGTTCCAAAGAGTACACGAGTTCAACCTTGTAGTAGTACATGCGTTCTAAACCTCCGTCATAACGGATTTCGTTAGAAAATTAAGAAACGTTTGCCATGAAACAGATTAAGTTATGTAAGATCGGTACTTCATATAAAAGTTTTTCAAATGATAATGAAAAGATAATGTTGAATGTAATTGAAATAATGCTAGCAATCAGATATTTAGGTGATCAGATAGCACCTTGTACACATGTTCACTTCATAATACTGCAGTTTACAGTACGAATAAAGAAAATAAATGTTCGCAAGCTTAGAAGAGCATATTACCTGCATAAGATATTACGAAATCAACATTGCAGAATCCATTTCTCTAGGAGATTTCCATATTCTCTTCAAACATGCATATATTGGCTTTTCTTACACGATTAATCTGACATAACATAAAAACTACTTATTTATTTAACACATAAATATTGATAAAAAGGGACACCGAATACATATGCGCTACACAAGTCACTTGATTTGTGTGTGGGCTGTGATAATGCCCAGGTGCCCAGACCGAGGCAGGTGATTTCCATATGAAGCCACACCCGGAGCCTTCGACCTATAGGTCTGATCCACAAGGCAGTGGAGCAACGTAAGAAAATGCAGTCCAATGGTAGCCGATGACCAACGATTGGTTCATACGCCGTTTGTTCCGTCAGGATCCTGGAGCCCATGGGCACCATTGGTTTGGAATCAGATTATTCAACTCCCCTAGGTGGACCCCTCCGTGCCAATAAATATGATTTAAATACATAGTCTTAGAAATCCAGCTTATCAGAACAGAAAAAATCATCTATTTCTCAGCCTTCTTTAAACTACTGCGATTTTACAGTGGGGTGAAAACCTTACTTGCTATACTTTTACCCACTATATTTCACAATTTTCACGTCCTTCATAAGTCAATACTTCTTAGGGATTTTAGGATCTGTTCATAGAACTCACAAGTCATCTTGTTTTCAATTAGCTTGATGAGTGCATAAACCACTAAATATGAATGCGCATTCCTCTCCTTACCAATTTACCATTTGGAAGAAATCATTTTATAATTGCACTGGGTTGTATAAAGTAAATACTACGTCCTTTTGTATGACCAAGTTATTTTAGAGTTGAAAAAACTACCCGACAATCATGAGCGGATGCAAACGTAGAAAACAAAAGTACTTCGTAATAAGAAGGGTGGTGAATAGAGAAAGACTAGAACTGTTAACCGTCTGATTGAAACTTTACCATCTGCATAGTAAGGTCAGAGTTTACGTGTAAATGGAAGTCAAAATAAATAGTAATGAGGAAAATACACAGTAATTACTTTCAAGAGGAAAACCATTGAATAACTGATTTGTAAATATAATGCTAACCTTTGTTACGGTCGTCAAATGTCGTCACCTCTTCATAGGGTATTTCTAAATTCTCCTTTGACTGTGAGATATTAAGATGGCGTTCTGATTCATTTTCCTCAAGGATTTCTTTGTCTAGCACTTCACTTGCCGTATCTTCATATTCATTCAAATTTACTCCAGACGGTTCCCTGTCAGATATGGTAGTGAAAATTCCTTCATCTATCTCTTGTTCTTCAATTGAACCACGTAGAGCATCTTCTGCAGATTGCATTGCTTGTAGTATGCGAGTCATTTCATGTTCAGTTTGCTCGAGTCTAACACGAAGACGCGACAACTCTTCCGTATCTATAATTTTCGAAATATGAAATAGCAAGTTATTTAGGATTAGCAACAATGGATGCGTTGAAACAGTTATGAAATACACGTTAAAATGCCTAGCTGAATTCCCTCTTAAAATCGCCCTGATTAATAATCTGGCAGTAAAATCTATAGGTCAGTTAGAATTACATGTAGGTTTTGGTGGGAAAAAAATAGTAAATTAATTATTGGCTGAGTTACTTAAACAGACGAATGACGTAGGATCTTCCACACTTTGCATCAACACGAAAAAGAACATCTGCAATCTTGAAAAACGGCAAAGAGTAATGAGGAGTTAAAAGATGGGAAACAAGTAAAAAGACGTAATTAGACGTATATGATAGTCAAATTAATAGTAAGTAAACCGAACTTACCCAAATCTTGGCGTTCCATCCTCATAAGCAATTTTCCCAAATCTTTGGGTAAACTTTTAGCCGAGCGATAAATATCTGGGTAAGAACCCTTGAAAATGGAACCCCATTCAAATGGTTTGCGGTTTGAATCTACATGTTGAAAGAAAAAGTAAACTTGTTAACTTTAGTCTACTCAACACCTAGCGTAATTCTTTGATTTTCAATTAAGCAGAGATTTTCAAGCCACAATAAGCTAAACTAATGAGTGAAATATTTCTTGTTTGTATTCTCACTAGATGTTTGCTTTTTATTTAATATTTTCTTCTCAAGCAGTTTCTATCAGAATAGTGCAATAGAAATGCAATGGTGAACAATGTGAGTTAACATGTAGCACTTTATACGTTTCTTTGAAGTTTGGGAGAAACAATATTCAGCCTCTTCTACCAAGTGTTCTCCAAAGCTATTTCTACATCTATAGTAAACATTTCGAGAAGTGGATAACTTATATAACAAGAATAACAATAATTAGTAGCATACAAAACTAATGGTTTGGTAAGGATCAGTGTGAAGTTATGGCATGGTTGTGCACAAATGAGATATTTTAAAGTAAATGTAATAAACCATCACTCTTTATTAAGTTAAGTGAAAAGAAAAACAAATTACCTCCAGATGATTTTCTAGAACTAAGAAAATTTAAATTTGGATTTCCAAATGTGTCTATTTCAGCGGCGTCATCGTCATCATCGGACGAGTCATGACCCATGCGAAATTTACCCCGATCAACATCATAATGGAAATCACGATAGTATTGTCGTAGAAACTCCTCTTTTTTATCAGTATTTTTCCGGCGTTTTGACGAAAAGATCTACAAAAGGATGAAAGAGATTATTCGACATATCACTTCATAGATTTCCAATACTTTGTAATCGATAGTATAATGCTGACTAAAGATAAGAATACGGTAAATCTCGAAATTTGAACAGTTGGGCTACATGTTTGAAGCCTGCATCATTTATTTGAGTCTGCACAAAGAAGTCATCTTTTAGTCCACGAATTAGAATGTGTTTATTTGTCTACTAAGTCGTTTCGATCTAAAACTGCTCAAGAACGTTACTTGTTTCTGAAACAAAACAAATTACGAATCACTAATAATGAAAGTAGCACCAGATACAAACTATAAGAGCAACAAAATCGAAACAGGTTTACTGATTATTGTGAACTATCGTGCGTAGAGTTGGAGAACACATGTAGCTCCTCAAGTTAGTCAAGGTTTTTCTGATGTTTTTACGAGTTGAGTACTTGATGTTACCAATACGTTTAAGCTCTTGGTAGACAGTGAGCAACCAGAGAGTTTTTGGAGATTAGACTAACTGTCCTCTGAAGATTTAAGCTTAAAGTTACGATCTTTAGGTTTCTAAGTGGATAACCTATTCACATTTCGCCACGAAAGTAGCACTTGATGCCAACCGCTTAGGCTCATTATCTGTGATAAGTTGAAGCAATTGTCTACCATTGTCAATCAACGCTAGCTTCCTCATCCTCGTTGTCTAATAAAACTTATTATTGTTACATAAACATTTTATCAGTCAGCAATGATATTGATTTCAGTTTTCATACTGTTTGGAGCTCCTTGTATAAATATTGAGAAAAATAAAAGTAACACCTAGATACTAAATATATCACAAAAACTACATAACCATGACACGGGATTCAGTATTTTGATAAATGATCCCCACCGACTTATTATAAGTAGGGTCGAACATTGACAGCTTCAACATGTAATTTGAACGCAAATTTAAGTAGCCAGGAAGATATTGCGGACCCAATATTCCGGTATTTGGTACATATAAATCGGACGTTGAGGCGAGCTTATGTAGAAGAAGTGATAATAAAGATGATAAAACTGAAGAAGGAGGAATATTGATGATAAGCAAGACGGACTCCAGTTTTGCTAAATGTATAGTTGATTAGTATTATTTGATAACACACGCTATGAGAAGTTATTTGTTTCCTAAACAACTTAACTACATTAGCAATAAACAAGCCTGTGGCTAATAAGAGATCTGATTGAAACAGGTTACATGAAAATTTTGTGGGTGCTTTTTCTCGTTTTAGCTATGCTCAGTTTGCACTTTTTAAGTCTTACAGATCCCCTTAGACATTCTCATGGTAGGTGTGCGTTGTTTTTAGGTTTGACATATTCTATTCCCTTATCTCGTCTGTGAAGTAGGGTAGGTGGTGTTCGACCGTGTAGAATAACTTACTGCAGTTAAATTCCGACACGACTGGCAGTAAAACTTCATTTTGAGATATGAAATTTTCGTAATAAACGATTACCAACTAACCTATCTGAGATGGTCGGACCTCGAAAAACAGTTGTTCCAGCTAGTATATCTCGACTGGGTTGTTACGATAGACAACAACTACGTCAGAGTGGTATCTACAGTATGGAAAATAGTCAATACGGAATCTGCGTAAGTGAGGCAGAGTTCGAACAATTATTAAACAAAATATAATTTGATACTGTCACGATCCTATTTTGGCATCTGAGACTACGGTTAATAAGGAAATATAAAACTGAAGATTATGGGGAAATATACAAAATCTCACCTTTGAAAGTGTGTAAAACAAATATAACACTATACCAACAGCATAGACAGGCAAAACGATCGACATAATTCCACCTCTTTTCCCTTGATCCTGTTGAACAATCCCTTCTGAAGCTCTGATAGGTTTTTGTGCGTGATGACCCTGTAAAGCGCTCGATAAAGTCACAAAAACGTACATTTAACCGGAGGTTTTCAAATCTGGTATGCTCTATACATACAGTAATGTGGTTAAAGTGGTACATTACCTACCTTCTGTGTGCCTATTTTTTGTAAAACCCAGTAGATGAAGAAGCATCGGATGGAAGATTTTGGGATACAGTATTGAGAAGCATGCTATTATAACACCCAAAACCAGATAGGTTTGTACACGAACTGATATCTGGGACATGTTAATAGTCAGTGCATTAAATCTAAAATAGTTTATGGAGTAATACTGAGTTAAAAGTGATATATCCAAGCATATATAATAACAGTAGCATCGTTTGATTTCTTCATTAAAAAGGCATCAGGAGATAAAAGACTCGTGTAATATCAAGGACATGCATATATCGTTGTATTCAAAGAGATCTGATTATATGACAAGATTATAATGTGATTCACCTCCTAAGTAGTTTCAACGCTGTATGTACATACTATGACTTAACAAGGCTAATAATAAAACCTAACTCCCGTTTCTTTTGCTTTCGATCTAGCTGGGTTTTTTTTTTGCTGTGCTGATTTAAATTGAGGGACCTCAGAGGAGCGTATAATTGTAAGATAAGAATGATGACCGACCATCTGAGCAAAACTAATATACGCCGTTTAGTCTTCTGTTATCACTAAACAAAAAATCGATACCTACGTAGTCTCCAGTCCTTAACATATAAATGGATGGGGAAACAAATGTTTGATAATTTGCTGATGGTTACCGAGTACTTGAACAATGGAAACAGATATCCAAACAGTAAGACTCTTGAGAACTTAACAGTAGTGCGGAAGGCAAATAGCACGAACACGACCTGACACATTATGATTTGTTATAAGCTTACATGGATCGTTTGGTTTCTTTCCACCTGTTTTGCTAAGGTTTTAGGATTTTGAAATGACTATTTGTCAGTCCAAATAAAGCCAACCCAATCTCTCGATTTTGGGGGAAATTTGACCAATTTCAGGAAGCCACTATAGAAAAATTTGAGGAAATAGTACCAAAACACCAATATTTCTTTTGAACCTTGGTGAAGGCCATTCGACTTTGGGAATTTCCCCAAAATTTGGGAGATTGAGGTCACTGCAACAGTTTTTCTATGAAGCATACGACCCTATAAGAGGAAGTTTCAGTTAGGAAACGTTTTGTGTATTAAGTCTTAACAATTACAATCAAGTACAACGGACAATCAGTTCATCACTAGTTTCAACAATCAACCAGCTGTAACACAACGACATATGTCGCCTAAAAGCTGTCGTGTATACGACAGCTTTCAGGCGGGAGATTCACTACAACATGATGCTTATTACAGGTTTGATATGTAATGACCTAATCACGAGGCAAAGGAAATATTTTCTAACTTGAACTCTCGTGTTAGTGTGCCTCACAAAAAACCCTTACGCTTACGAGAACTTAAACACCCCACTGATACTTGAGGTTATTTACAATAGTCAATAGTTTTGAGAAAAAACTTGTCCGAACCTGAAATTTAAGAGCAGAATTTGGACACTGAATGCGCGAAGTAATAAAGCATAGCTTCTGCTTACAGTTAACAATCTGAATTTACTGGTATTGAGTTGAAAGCGATTCTTTTAGTTTAGTTATATCATCTAGAACAGTCAACTAATAATCTACGTTCAATATTTACCTCCAAACCTGAAGACTGCTCACACATAGCAGGGCTTGAGGATAGTAAGTAGCGAGTCTTGGATTTCGGTGCGAAATTCATATAGCCATGTGGTTAAGTAGTATTTTTACATTATTACTGATGTCAGTTCGTAGTGAACAAACTAGCTCCTAGTCCTAACCCTAACTACGAATACCAACTTCAGTTTTTAGGCGTCTTCTGACCTTGGTAGACAGGCTAATATTATGAGGGTTTATTTGGCGTCGACCACAAATTATAGCCTCACCTCTGCAACAATAAAAATCCAGTCGTTGGGTTTCCGTAAACTGAAGTTGAGGAAAAAATATTTTTAGGCGTGCGTGGAGATCCGTTTTCCGTTTGTCAACTGTGAATTGGGGACCTAACTTGCACTTAATAGTTAGTATTCGCAGGAATTACGCCCGGTTCCACGTCAATGTTGAAAAGATAAAGGACTTTCGTCATCAAATCATTAATGTACAGCAAACATCTATGTCGACCGGCAACGGTTGCGTAAATGCGTGTCGGTGAGCAGGTTTCCTGAGAGTTTTGTTGTGCTATATGGTTCGGGCTGGAGGAAACTTCGAGATTTCTGGCGATTTCTAGGAGATTTAAAATAGTTAATGTTATACTAACATCATTCTATGATGTCTGTTTCTTATGGTCCAGAAACAATTCCTTAACGTGGCGGGTTTCTTTAGGGACTCTCGGAGGGTCTGAGACTATGATAAATGTTGGGGAAACGAGTAGTAGTATTAGGTAGATATGTAATGTCATTATGCGTTGTGATCAATAGTATCCAATCGGCAGATGCAGCCAGTTTATCTACGGCGTCTTATTGGAATGAGACAAAAACAGCCTGCATATGTGGCTGTTGTGTCGTGATCACGGGAGCCAGCTTCTGCATAACAGTAACAGGCTTCCACTTTGCCGGGCTGGATCGTCATGTAGTGGAAAGTGGGGGAGGTAATAGTCTTCATCTTTAAAAGCGACCTTTAAAACAAATGAGATGCGTTCATTTAAACCCGTTTCCAATAGATTGCAACAAACCGATGTTTTTGTCCAACTCATCATACGACTTAGTAAACATGTTTTTGTACGTCACAATTCATCACACCGATCCGTCGACGCTGTATATGTGGGACCCTATGAAGCAATTAACCGTGATTCCAAGTCAGATACCATTGGTAAGACCTGGATTAAAAGGATAACATCAGTATCTACCGTCTAAAAGAGATTTACTTTCTCACTAAATAGTCGAACCACATGGTCCTCACAGCTAAGATGGAACCAACCAAACAACCAAAGAAATCGATGAAACGTCTCTATCTTCCGACAGCTGGCCTGAAATCGCATGCTCTGGAAGAACTGCAAATTATGCAGAGTATTTTATAGGCTCTCGTATTCTATAGCCATTAGGTTGAATTCTCAGTTTTTTTACTTTGTGAAAAACACACTAAACAAAGTATGTTTATACGTATAATTCATTTAAAATCATACCAATTTTTTTCAGTATGCATGAGTATGTGTGCATATCTCTCACAAATCACCCCACAGAAATCTTTTGTGCATGATCGTTCTCGCCGCCTCACGATATTTATAGATATATGCTCATGAAAGGCTTTTTTCATCAAGTCTTGCATACTTAAGCAAGCACGAGTGTAAGTTGGCAATCACTTACATGTATAGGTTGACAAGTTTCCGGAAAAAATAGTTTTGTAAATCTTAGGCATTGATGCTGACCCTATTAGTTTTCTTAAACACACCTTAGCTGAAGGCGTTCGGTTACCCATGAGCATCAGTTCACCATTGGGCATAATATGCTACACACCCTTCTCGACATCTAACCAGCCCAAACCAAGCACTTCTCAACATACCGAGTACCTTACAAATATATCTTAGAAATCCTTTGTCCCTGACCTGAAAATTTTGGTACCTTTTTCAAATGCAAGCGCGTTACAGACAAAAGCGTTGTCAAACCTTGAATATCCATAACGCTTAGGGCATTCCATTCACCATGGAGAACTCATCTGACAAAGTAGAAAAGGATATCTTTTTTCGACATCTAGTTTTGATAGTTTGATAGTCACATTATAAGGCTTTGAATTGTGCCCCTTTACGTCGGTTTCGGATGCATAATGAGATGATGAACCCTGTTGAGAACACCGGAAAAGCATTTGATGGTTGTGTCCTTGTGAGGCTGTACGCTATGAACATAGCCAAGGAGAGAGTTATTCGTTTTATTTACGCTACTGTGGATAGCATGCAAGATTTTATCTTGTTGCCTTCTTAAATTATGGACAAACCAACTTTCTAATCAGAATGAGGTTTGTCATTGACTAAAGGATGCTCGAATAAATCAACAGAAGATTAGGTGTGTCTTCAGTAAATTTTTATGAGACTGGTGGTCGTAGTCCGAATGAATCAACGGACTTTTTTGAATTAAAGTACGTCAAACGTTCCTTTATCATGAGAGATCCGTACTTCTCTGCACTTAAATAGCTGTGGGATTTTGGGTCAGCAGTATGTAGAAGAAACTTTATTTTAGGATGGGAGTAGTCAGATAGTAATCATTCGACTAGTTGAATGGCAGCCTCATTGCGGTTGATGCTCGCCATCAAGGAATCTTTGTCGAGATGATTTAGTGAGATTAGTAGGTTTTATTTCATCTGACTAAATAAACGCCTGTTTCATCTTTCTGTATCATTCACTAGACATGGTTGATATTTTATCCCGTCCCAACTGTTCTTTTGAATGCGTATCACGCTACAGTGTAACCAGTTGTCTGCAAAAATTAGGTATATACCTTTTGTCTCATTCTGTAATCCTAGAATTACTTGATGGATGACCGACAATGGGCAGTATCTCAAAATAAGCACTAGAGAAGAGTCTCTTTAAGAACATTCCATCATTATCTCATGTCAGCGAGGTGCTGTTCGCTCTTCCAAAATAGCTTTACGAGGTGTATATTATCAGAGTCTTGATCATTTATTTAAAGGTATCATAGATTGTACATGTATCTAGCAAATCAGTTGAGAAGATACATGACATGAAAGTCTGATTATTTTGTTCAGGAGAATCCACAAACTAATAAAGCATGAACTACGAGTACCTCTTACTTTGTAGCGTTAAATGGCAATGTACCGTATCCCGGGCGGTGAAATTTCGTGAGATTTGAATATCAGGTCTGCTATCATCATTGGGTTTTTTGGTAAGGAAATTTTGCGGAAACTTGTTATATTTAGGTGCTTATCACACATAGACTTTCTGACCACAACCCTCTCAAATTACTGTACGTGATACCTTTGTAATCGAAGTATACCAGCCCCGTCAAATCAAAAGTCAGAAATGAAATGGTTCGAAGATATATTTAAAAGACTATCAATATGTCAAGAAGAGTTTAGTCTAAGCTGGCGGTTGTAAGAGATGAGTAGCACAACGTATCCCCTTATGATGTGGGGCGACTGCGTGACCGAGCCCCTCCAGTTAGATATATCGAGTAAAATTAATCAAATCAGTATAAATGTGAAAAACTAACAAAATCATTTAATTAGCGGAT